CTAATTATACCTATTAAAATATTATGGTTACAGGTTTACTTTTTTATATTTGAAGCTGTTTGAGGTGCGACATCCGAAATTTGCCCTTAAAAAACTACAACTTTTGAACGAGAATCAATAACTTTGCTATATTTATGTTTTATGTCAAGTTGGAAAGGGTAGGGCTGTTCTCTTGGGTTTTTAAGAGCGGAAGGTTCTAATTTCGTCTTTCATTTTGTTTCATGAATTTTTTCAATCAAAACGGCTAAGCTTGACTAAATAGCAATTCAGATGCAGCAAACTGTTAAACAGTATTGTCGTTGTAATGGCCATTGAGCTTTCACGGACAAAAACCTGGGAAAGAAGAAAATTAACTCGGATTCAAAATTCGAGATGGCAAAAAACGGCTCATTGGCCAAATTTACTTTAAAAAACGCAAGCGAACAGAGTGCGAAACCGAAATACGTTTCCAAAATAGGGATGTAAAATAAAAGTGCATTAAGTTATCATTATAATGGATAAAAAAGAATAAATATTAATTTCGTGTCCAAACTTTTCGTTAAAATAATTGATAAACACGAAAATATTTGGATCACTAAAAGTAAAAATCATGAACACAAAATATACTTTATTGTAAATAATATATTAATTACTTTAATAAAAGTACATTTGAAATGTCTAATCTAACTGCTTACAAAGACAATTCCGATAACCTCATAAACAACTCTAGTAATGTTTGGGGTCAACTGATTGACTTTTACAACTAGCATTATTCTAACATCTAGCGAATGACAACTACACTTAACTGTGCTTAAGTTTATGCATCAAGAGCATATATTCTCACTCCTCCAGAAAGGTAATTAACGTCAGGATAAACTTTAAAATCAAATAATAGAAAACACAGGAAAACTACATCTTACTAGAAGGGGACTGAAAATATAAGCTTGTAACGAATTGCTTCATGTAACTGATCAATATAAAATATATGAATAAAAATTATAAATTTTTAAATGTATGTACAAAACCGTACACGTAGCCACTAACTACCTATGTACAAAATTAATAAAATATTAGTCCAACCGAAATCGAAACAGCTGTAGGTCTGCACGTTTAAACGGACAATGGACTTGATATTTTCATTCATACCGCCTTGTACACCATCTAGAATAATTTTGATGAGTCCAAAAATATTAATTTTAATCTTATCGATATCGTGATCATCTTATTTAAACGAACAATCTCCAATATCAATCAGTATAGAAGATGAAGTTCGATCAGTTTACAAAAATTTACATTTTATACACCCTTAAAAATGTTTGACCAATTATTCAAATCGCGGTCGCTTGTCATCGGATCCCTCTGAATCATCTCCCGTCCGCTTTAAGTCGTTGAGATTAGCTATTATAGCAGGTTGGAGAGGTATTTCTCCCGAATTTTCACTATTTACGGACAGCGTCTCCGCTTCCGGAATTGAAGATAAATCGCTGGAAATCTCTTCCTCTCTTGGTGTAATTGAGGACAAATCGAACATATCTGGAGGAGGTTCACTCAGGGAACTGCACATTTCGCCACCTAATGTTGATAAACCTTCATCAATAATGTCGCGTTCTTCCGACCTGCGCGAACTTCTGCAATTGAAAAACGATTCAATTCAAGATAAACTAACAGTGCTTGCGGCTGTTTAGCTATACCTTGGTAATTTGGTAGAACCGATACTAGATTGGCTATCGTCTATTATGTCATCTGCAAGCATCGACATTGAATCGAGTTCTCCAAAAGTGTTTGATTTTACAATTTCTTCCTGTGAAGATGTCATCGGGTCCAACATCGGCAAAGTACCGAAATTTGGACTAAAGCTACTTGAGCTACTTTTTAACCTGGTATTTATTCGTATTTTTCCCGAATCTGAAGAGGCACTGCCCTCCGGCTAAAAAAACGCAAACATGCCTTTTTGGATTCAACAAGTACATATCACTGTTTATAGCTTTTTTCACTACCGTAAAGTGTATTGAAAATGTTTTAAATAATTTGACCATCAAGCTGAAAAATTTGAAACATCATACCTCAACAACATCTTCAGTGAGCAGGGGCATACTGGTGCTGTACGACTTCTGCGAGATCCCAACAGATTCTTCTAGGCTGGGCAACGAATATGCGTAGGATGGGCTGTTAATACTACTAGTCACACTGTCTGGCATAGGAAGGGTAAGTTCCAAAGCTCCCAGACTGGCCGCTTGCTGATTGGCGACAGTTTGCGAAATATTCGGATCGGTGATTGTAATTGGTAAGTCCACGTTCTTTGGAACCTAACATAACAGTTTTCGTCAGTTCACTCTGCAAACATTTCACATTGTTCCTTGCACATACCTGACTTAAAATATCAGCTTCCGCGTCAATTTTCTTGCTGTTAGTGCTAGGGATTTCTAAAGGCGTCATTATAGGCGAGCTCAATGTCAAGCTCGTCTCTAACACATTTCCAACGTGCATGGGAAAGAGGGCGCTTCCCGGACTTACTTGGGAGGGAGACCCTTTTAAAATTGATGAGTGAACCGTTGGTTGATCGGTCGATGGAAACACGTCTGTGTTCGCCAACGCCGCGGCCAAAATATCTTGATTTGGCTTATGAGATGCGAACAATGAACTACTAGTAGTATCCTGCAACAAACATCATTTTTAGAAAAGCTAATTTGGAGACAAATTGTCATTACACAGCTTCGTTAATTAGTGCGTCAAAGTGCAGAAAATTCGAATTTTAACAGCACATTTATCAAAGTTTTTGTGTTTAAGAAGTGCATCATAAAATATGTTTTATGAGAAGAATGTAGTTTTCCAATTATTTCGAAAAATATAAAAGGTTTGGTGCTGCAGGGTATCGGAGAATTCGGTGCTGTACCCTAATATTTATATCGTCTACTAAATATTAAGGACAGTCTTAAACTCTGCTAAAATTAAGCAGTTCCATATCAATTTAAATCCTACCGTATTGCTTTCGGCGGTTCCAAGAACAGCCTGAGCAGAAGTATTGGTTCTTATTAAAATTTGCTGTCCATCCGCCTGTACTAAAACATTGCCATTCTCAGCGCTTGCCAAAATGTTAGCCAAATCAGTAGTTCCATCTGAAATGGATTCGAGGAATTTTCGAGTAGCAGTCGGGTCGCCTGTTACAATCAGCTGTTGGCCACCAGGTTCTAGAAAATAATAGGAATTAAAAATATTTCCCTATCGAAATAAACAAATGTAATAATTTATAATGACATACTAGCTACATAGAAAAATTTCCCCTTTATCAAGTTGAAGAAAAAAGACATGTTTTTATGGTCTTCTAATGCAATCACGAATTTTTAGTTCCGAACTCAATCGAGAAATATTAAAATTTCGGTTATCCTTTCAATAGTTCCCGATGTTGCTGCTCATTCCAACGTTCCGACAATAATTGACTATTTTGTTATGACTACGTAATTGTAAATTAATTCTCCATGCAGATGCCAATGCTAAAGGCCCGACGAATTTTCAGTTCCGAAATCCATCGGAAAATGTTTAATTTAATGAAAATCGGCAGAAATTTATTTTAAGCAATTTTAAGTGAGAAAATCGGTCTTGATTTTTCCCTAGAAAATTGCCTTAATGGTACTACATAATTTCAATATCTAACTAACAAAAAAAGGAATGAAATCAATAACAAAATAGAGTTTTTATAGGGCGGTAAATTTTTTCTTACCTCCAGGAAGAATGCCGTCCCCAATCACCACCTGTTGTTCTACTGTTATTGACGGAACTGCGGGCTTGTGCTGTTCAGTATTACTCAATTTCGGTTCTCGCTGGCTTGCTTTGAGCGCCGGAAGCTTCGATTTTTCATCGCCCTACGCAAAACAACAATAAGTTTACCACTGGATTAGGTTAAGAATTTAATTCTTACCGTCGACCAATTTTCCTTTGAAGCTGTAGTAGACACAGTGGGTTCCGCCGTGGGCTTTACAGCAGCAATGGTACCTTGAGTTTGATCGACTTGTAGCACCACGTTATTGATATCTCCACCAACACCTAAACTCGGGTCCAGTGACATTAGAGCGTCATTGTTTAAAGGTGTTAAATTTCCAGATTCATCAACGGTAACCAGCATGTAAGATTGAGGCTGGCCATCAACTGTTTCACTGGGAATTGCTGAAAGAATTCGTAGTAGTCAGAAAATATTTCACAGAGTTGGAAACACACAAAACAAAACCACTGCTCACCTAAAATTTGCCCGACAGTTACGGTTGTAAGATTTCCCAGCCCGTCTTGAATCACGACTTGTCTCAGTGGGCTTTCCGGTCTCTTATTTTCAGTTTCATTCGATGGAGCTGCTTGTTTAGTCTCGGTTTTCAACGAATCTTTCCCCTGTAAGACAGGAGCAATAGGCTGGTCCATTTTCTTAGATGCAACCTGTGTTCGAATGATCTGATCAGCCTTTAAGTTAAAGTAATTTACGTAAAACAGAAAACAACCCAGCCTTGTACAGTTAAAATACGTACCGGAGTTTTAGCAATTTATAAATTAGTTCCTTACCTGTAGTTGTTGAGACATCGTCGAAATGGGGCCTTCCTGCAACTTTGGCGTCTCCTCCTGCGTGGCGGCAACAGGAATTTTGCTTTTAACATGTTCAATTTTCTTACTAGGCGTTTTTCGAATTGCCGACGATCTGTTGCAAATTACATTACTGGTACTTGGAATTGGCCTGCAAAATTGCATGATTTTTTTATGCGTTTATCACTGATGTTCGCATATTAACATTAAATCTACGACGGACAGTATAAGTAAATAGAAAACCGAGGGGGATGGTGCTGCTAAAATTGCAGTCGACAAAAATGTTTTTCGAGAAACAAGAGCTTAGCTATACCGAAAAGGTACAAATCATACGTGGGCAGAGTAGTAACAACAATACAACTTTTGTAATTTGCACAAGTTAAAAAATTGTTCTCCTGGAAGTTTGATTAAATTTACCTATAAGTCCGGTATCGCATACAGGAAATGCCAATTACCTCTGAGAATTTGCATACATCAACGTACATTTTTACTGGAAAATAAATAAATGAATACACACCTGTTGGTATAATTGATAATCTCAGGCGTTTTGTTGGCTTGCTGAAGTCTTGCGCTAGCTTTTATTGCCTCAAGTTGTTCAGCCACTTGCCTGTCTAGATCGGCGTCGTCTGTTCCTTGAATTTTTCGCACCTTAAATAAGAAATTCATTATATTAATGTGTGCATGTTTTGCAACTTTTAAAGAATCAAACATTTTTGTTTCACTTACAGTCTGCCCTAATTGATTCTTGATTAAAATCGTCTTCTGTGGCTTAGACACCGGCCGCTGAATAGTTTTCTTTGGAGGAACAACGGTTTTGGAAGCTTTTATAGCAGACATCAGCAAACCTCCTGTAGTAGAAACTGATGCGGTTGCTCCTGTAATTAATAACGATTGTGAAATTTTCGACTAGCAAATTGATATTTGCCACTAAGCAACAGCGGGAATTATGTGAAATTAACCCGATTAAAAAATGAAAAATTCCAACCTTGTGAAATAGCGGCTGTGGTTTTGACTGCGACCCCACTCGAACCAGCAGCAGCTACCGCCGCTGCAGTCTCCAACAGAGCTTTCGGTATCGCGCCTTTAATAATGGTTTTAGTTTTGCAGCCAGCTTGTCCCTGCATAAACACTTTCTGTTGCTGAGGCGTCAGCACAACCCTTGTTTGCTGTCCTTGTGCATTTGTAACAATCATGATTTTATTTCCCACAATTTGACTTGGATCGGATGCTGGCGCAGTGCCAGACTGGGTCATCTTGTGGGGAATAGTGGACTTTTTTATTGTTGAAGGCTTCATAGATTTCACCTATGTGAAAAACGGATTTAGCCAAGTGGAATAATACAATGAGGGTAGTAATACATACTAAAGATGAAACTGATAAGTTTTTTGGGCTATTAGGATCGCAAAGAATATAATGTATTCTAGATGTTTTGCAAGCATGGGCAAATTCAATGCTCAATGCCCGAAAAGCCCATCAGTTTTGATTGATAAAAAAACCATTTTGATACATACTTGAGTTGTTGCCGGAGTCACAGCTGGAGGTACTAACACATATTTCGCCGGTTTACCGTCAGCAGTTGTTCCGGTAGCAATAAATGCCGTAGAACCAGCCTTGGAGAACTTGCTGAATGGAACAGTCGCTGAGGGTGTAACAGCTTTCGTCACTTTGGATGTTAGTTTATTTGATACTGGAGTAACCGAAGCTGAAGATGTAGTTTTGAAGATTATCTGTTGAGGAAAAGTTCGATTAGAATTAAAACAATCCCTTATCTAATTTAAAAATGTGTTTCCTTTATCTCATCGACTATAGAGATTAGGTCTTTAAAATTGAAAAACTGTGCACTAAAACAATGATAGAAACTTAAATGTTTGTTGAGTAAATTACCTGTTTTGTTCCTAAAGCTGTAGCGATTTTCTTTGGTAAAGTAGCCACAAGCTTTTCATTGGGCTTAAGCTTGGGCATAATGGCAGATTTAGGCACACCATCTTCGGAAAGAACTACCGGCATGTTTTGTATACTTTCCGCGGTGAGAAGATCGTCGGATAGCACTATAGGCATGGAGTTGATATCGAAAACCGATTCATCTGAAGCTGCTTGAATTTGGACATGCTGTAATTGCCCTGGACCTTTTACAACTGCAGTGGAAGCATGTGGTACAATTTCTCCTAAAACAGATCCTGCAAATCAACAATTATTTCAGCCAGAATGTGGATTTAATACCTTTCGCAGAAATGATAGTTTGCTGCAAGATTTTCGCTTTTCCACTGGCTTTTGAACGAAACTTTGCAGGCTTCTCTACTGGCATCGGCTGAGCAACTTCTTCCTCAACCGGTTTTTTTGCAATTTTTGGAATTATAAATGCGGTTTCGATGTCTTCCACATCTTCATATTGGCGCTTGATGCCTTGACTAGTTTGCTTTGCTGCTGCGGTGGTTGTTAAACCTGCAGGTCTGAAAACCAGAAATACATTTCACTTAGCCGAAAGCAACTAGAACTATTTCCATACATTATGCATATAAGTGGAATTTTCCTGTTTCTACACGATCCTACTCCAAAATGACAATAAAACGCAAAATCTAATTCTGTTTACGAGCTGGAGAACGTATGTTTTACTTAATAAATCAACAATTAACGTTTTCAAAAAAATTCCATGTGTAAATATTTAGCAAACAAGGAAATCTTTTACTTCAGGCAATAGAACCATACGGTTGCTGTGAATCATGTTTTTAAGTGTAGTAAACAAGGTGCTAATTAGTTGCCGTTTATTTGGGCGATGGGTGCTGTAGTAGTTTTCATTAAACATTTTGATAAGGATTTTTTATAAAACTCTAAATATGAGGCCGAAATGAAAGGAATCGTATACAATAAACGACTTACCTGATAATCTGTTCAGACAGTATAACGGGTTTGCTGCCTGGAATTTTGGAGGCAGCTCTCTGGCTTTTGATAATAATCTTTTGTCCGGGTTTAGGGACACCAAGTGAACGCTTTATAGTTTTACCCGCTAGTAATGCAGGCAACTTTTCCGCTACATTAACGTCACTTTTAACCAATATTTTTTGCGGCATCTACAAAAACGTTTTAATCTAGCAGGTTGTCGCATGATAGCAATGTTAATTTCTTACCTTAGAGGCCATAGAAAGCCTTTGCAGCAACTTAGGTGAATCCAATAGCACGCTCTCGGGTTTGACTTTATTAGACAAAACGATTTGTGAAGGAATTGCATCTTCAAAGTCAATTATGCCCTGTACGGTGCTCTGTTTATCATAATTATCAAAAGAGGTTTTGAATTTCTGTTCTGATCCGCTGGAAGTTGTAGATGAGTTCGAATTGCCTTCCAATATATCTAACAGCTCTGACTTGAGAACATACGTGTTCGGTTGAGTGAGTAGCGGACGATTATCGAACTCTTTCACCATAGCTTTGGTAGTAAATTCCGTTCCGACTGTCTCAGTAGTTTTTGTTTTAATGTCAGTTGTTACTTTCACTTGAGTAAGAGACACTGATTTTGCTTCCAATTTTGGAAAACCTCCCGAAAACGATCCCAAACTACTCGGTTGTTTTTGGTTGATTATTTTTTCGCTAGTAATTTCAACTTGTGCATCTGCTAGATCTTGTTCTGACATTACTGTTGGAGCTACTGAAATGGGAACCATTTCAGGTTGTTCAATCAGACTTGATCCGGAAACTCGAGAATCCAGTGAAGAAACCATTCCTTCCCTTTTAACATCAAACTGAGTAGGCATTTCACTCAGTAATTCATTTTTAATTTCTGGTAATTGAGACACGTGTTCGGGTTTTAGCAAAAATGATTTATTCACAATGGTTAGACTATTGTTATCGTCAGTTTCGTTTTTTCCTTCTACTTTCACTTTGGACTCTAAGTTATTATCTGATATAATATTTGTACTAGAGCACGACGCTTGTGGAACAACAGCTTTATCATCTTTTGTACTCTCACTTAGAAACTGATCACCACTAATATCGGGTTTAGCCGGTTGTTCCCCAATGTCCAATTTTTCCTTTTTACAGGCCCCATGTTCAATAGGCACAGATTTCCTTTTTCTAGCAGGTTTCAGCACATTTGCTGAATCTTCTGCCGTTGCACCGCTTTTGGGCTCTTCACTTACTGATTCAGTCAATTCCACCTTTTCAACGGAAACTTCAACTTTGTTAGACGTGTCCTCAACTTTCTGAAGCCTGTCAAGTTCCTGATGGAACAAAAAGCTTTTCTTCTTTGCCAAGGGTGACATTTGCGGCAATTCGATGACCTTTTCACTTTTTTCTATGATTTGGCTGTTCTCAAAAAGCTTTTGCATTTTTTTCTTGGGAGTCTCTAAGATGCTGTCTGAAACCTTGTCTTTAACATCAAAAACAACAGTTTGATTAGACAGTGCACTAACATTTGCATCTTTTGGAACTTCAATTTTCTTTTTCTTGGGTGGAACACACTTCTGAAAATCGACATTTGGCATCGCGTTTTTCTCATCTAAGACCGCAGTAACTTCAGACGAATATTTGATGCTGGACTCAACCTCCTTATCATCAGATTTCTGCGTGCTTTTAGAAGAAGTTTCCGCTGCATCCAAATCATTATCATCTAAAGAATCAATCTCTTTTATAAGTCCTTCAATATTATTTCTGAAAGACGATGTTATAAACGAATCATCAAAACTCGGGAATTGCAATTCATCTGATTTCTTCTCCGGAGAAAAGTCGTCAGAAAAATAGTCTTTTAAAACTTGAGTACCAGCAACATTTGCGCGTTTCGATTTCTTTAGAGGCAAAATTATATCACTCTCAGTCAAATGGGAACTTGCATTTTCGGTAGCATTTGGATTATCAGTTTTTTTTATCACATTTGAGGCCTGAGGCTCAGCTTCTAGTTCTTCACAAGTCAATAATTGCTTATTGGCATTTTCTTTTAACGGTTCATTATCTTTCTCCGTATTAGCGTAACTACCTCGCCTTGACCGCTTACTTTTCTTTGGCGGCACTGACTTCAAGGATTCGCTTAGATCGCTTATTTCTGTACTTTCTTCTTGTGTGGTAATCGAGGGTTCGGGCTCTTCATGTTGAACTTTAGTGTCACAAAGCTCTGGACTTTTTTGTGAGGAAGTTTGTGCCTTTGTAATGAAAGAACATTCACCAAGAATGTCAGTTTCACTCAGTTGGTTATCAAGCTTTTGAATGTCTTCAGCTTGATCAAAGCTAGGTGTTACTGCCGGTTGCTCAGATGTTGCAGGCTCACGCTCAACGCGTTCATCATGTTTGCCTGCTTCCGATTTCGATTTCTGTGGCACATTTATTGATTCATGTTTGGTTACACTCAACTCACCTTTTCCAATGTTTTCAAGTTTGTTGCTATCAAAAGCATTCAAATTATCATTAACCGCTGATATTAAATTGCTTATTACTTCACCCACAAGTGTAGTAGAGTGATCTAGTACGTTGAGATTTTCTGAAGTTGGTATCTTCGGAGTCTCTTTAAAAGCGCTAGATGAACTCTGCTGGTTATCTGGTGTACACGTTTTCCAACTCATTTCCTCAACAGGTACTTGATCTTTTTCTACTTCATTTATATGAGAAGGTTCTAAGTCTTCTTTCGCGGTCTCAATGTGTTCCAACGTATCAGGAATTGGCTTGACCTGTTCCTCAGATTCGTTATGAGTCGAATTATTTTCAGTGGTTTCACGGTGATCAGGCTTCGCTGTTTGGAGTTCCGAAAATTCTTCTGAAAATTCGTTGCTAAGGGTTTTATTTTCTTCTGCAATGGAGGGAATCACTGACGTATGGATTTCCTCGCCAAGAACCAATACAGGTTTTATAGAAACAAGTAAATTGTCACTACTTGTGTGATCAAGCGGCTGCTGATTGTTGGATGCGGGGACTTGGGATGTGGCGGTGATACCTTCATTTGCCTTTACTAGTAAAGCTTCCTCATTAGTACCCATCCTGCCTTCAATTGATTCTATCGGATCTGAGGGTTCTGTTACAACTTCAATCTCACTGCTTAACGATTGCTCTACATATTCCATTTTCGCAACTGAACAAATGTTGTAAAATTCCTGATCAACAATTGTTGTGGCAATGTTTACTTCTAAATCTGTTGTTTGTTGATCATCTAATGCCATTTGAATGTTCGCATCTTGTTCAGTCGGCCTGATCTGAATATTTTCAGAACCGCTTGCAAAACAACTTTCATTAAAATTTGCTTTTTTATCCACTCTATCATTGCTTATAGGACGTTCACACGATATCTTTGGAACATTACAATCGTTCCCCGTTACTATTGCTTTATAGGAGTTAATTTCGGTATTTGTTGAAGATTCTGATTGTGGGTTGTCTAATAAAACTTCCTGTGGTATGTCAACACTACGATTCTCGGATTCCAATGAACATTGCGCGATCTCAATGAGCACTGGGGACTTTGTAAATGACTTTGCGGTACTCTTTCTTGAACAACGTTTTGTTGGAGGTTCCAAATCTTCAGTTGAAGTTGTTGAAAACTCCATGGAAGCTTCAGCTGTTGCATTCTGCGGCACGTCAGTCCTTTTGAGGACAGAAGTTTCGGAATCAATTAAATGAACTTCTGAATTTTCAAGCAATATTTGCTGAGGTTTGTCGTCACTTTTCTCAACTGCATCAATTGGACAGTTACCCAGAAAAACATCCTTATTCTTTGCTTCCTGAGTTTTCTCGCCTAAAGCTTCCGAGGTTAACAATCCACAAGTACCTATTCCTGCGTTAGTATCGCTACCAGCCGCATCAGATGAATTACTCCCCAGCGTTGCCTCTGTCGTTGTTTCTAACTTACTCGCTTCGACCGTTTGCTTTTCTAATTGAATTGCGTCTTCAATTGATGCATTGTTATGATTTTCCGGCTTGGTTACTGATGGAACCGGTTCAACAGTACTTTTTCCACCCTCGGTTGTGGCATCGGGCTCTGCTTGTGATTCAAAACTTTTTTGATTATTGCATGAAGAAGTAACCACGTCCCACCTATTTTTCACCGCTTTTGATGCACCAGATCTTACCTCTTTAGCTTTTCTTCCATAAGTCACATCGCTAACAATACCGGTAACGGAACAAACATCTTGCTTGCGAGCAGATAACTGTGTTTTAGTTTCTTGATTTTCTTGCAATCCAACATCACAAGCAGATTCATTTATTTTCGAATCAATTCTGGCTGCTTCTGTTGATTCTTCGACTTTTGAAGATAAGTCGGTTTTGTGTGATACTTTTTGACTCCTCTGTATTTTAGATCGCCTTCTTTCTTTGGATGGTAAAGTTTTTTGGATTATGGGAAGTTTATCTTCCTTGCACTCAGTTGATTTAAATGCTGTGAATTTGTCGGATTGGCTCGAACTTTCAGAAATATGAGAAGCTGAAGCAGTAGCTGGATGTATGAGCTGCATCTTTTCTCGATCTCGAACACTAGTCTGGTTCTGTTCACTTCGCCTTGTATGCCTTTTGCTTGGCGTTGGGCGGCTTGCATGTTTTTCCGTTTTGCTTGCTATGTCACAGATGGAAACGCTTTTGTCAAGTTCGGAAGCTTCGCTGGATTTATTACTTTTATCTATATTTTCAGCTTGCACATCTGCTACCTTTTCAACACTAACTTTGCTTTCAAAGTTACTTATCCTACTACTCCTAGTAATCCGCTTTGATTGAGATTGATCATCTGAAACATATGTGGAAGATCGCTTGTCTAAAACATCCACCGCTATTTCATGTTCAAGCTTTTGTGATCGTCTTCGCTTCGAAGGTGGTTTATCGGGTAATGGAATATCAGCAATCGACTCGAGCTCTTTAGAAAAATCGAATATTGGCTCTTGGTTCTTAATTTCCGATGTCGATTTCTCAATCAGTCCAGAGCAAGTTTCCTTTAACTGGTCCTCAATTGGACGTTTTTGTTCGGTGTTCGAAGCAGTTAACTTGCAACTAACGTCGTCAGGACTCGATGGTTTTGTATCAGCATCATCCAAATTACCTTTAAACTCTACAGTATCCGTTCCACTGTCTTTACCAGCTACAGCTTTTCCATCAATTCGCAACGTTTTCCCGCTTCGCGTTTTAGAAACTATTTTATCTGGCAGCGCTTCCGTACAATCAGAAGACTGCATCGTTAGATCTTTAATAATGTTATCACTAGCTATATCAGCACTCTTAGTAGGCTCAATGACATTTTCTGACTTTCTTTTACTGCCTTCTACAGCCAACGTAGCACAAGTGTCTTCTGCATTCCCTCTTGCTTTCCTTCGTAGCCGCCTTGGAGATTTTTCCGCAAAGGACGTAGTTTTTAAACTAGCTGGCTCTTCAGGCACATCACTTTTTGGGTACCCAATAGCGGGGACTTCTCCACCAGATTCTTGAGTTTTCGTCGTTTTCTGCAGTTTATCAGTGTCGGTCTCTTTTTCACTTAGTTTAACCGAAGACTTTGAGTCGTTTTCTAACGCTATCTGGCTATCTGGCGACACAGTTTTGTCCCTTTTGTTGCTTTTTCGTCGAGAACTTTTTCTAATTTTTGACGTGTTACTCGAAAGTGCGATTTCGTCACTAATTGAACTAACGCTATTTAACGCTTCTAAATTGATATCGTCTTGTGGCTTCGAGTCTATTGAAACTGATTTGTTTCCATCATCTACTTTGATTGCGACAGGAGCATCTTCTTTCATCGGGGCGCTTTCATCATCAGTATGTGATAATTCCTTTTTGTTATGCGACCGGGTTCTTCTAGTATTATCAGCTGGTTTGATCTCTTCAGACTTGTGTATTTCTTCACGTTTCTGCTTGGTTTTCTTTGCCGATTTTGGTGAGACATGTTCATTATTTGAAAGTATACTTTTTTCAATTAGCGGACTGGCTTCAGGAGACAGATCTTGACCAGAAACATTTTTATCAAGCTCCTGAGTACCTAGTGCCAAAGCTTCTCCTTCGGATGTCGATTTTTGTAATTTATTTTTTCTGTTACGTGAAGGAGTTGCCTCGGAAAGAATAACACTGTTGGGTTGATTTTTTTCGTTCTTCACAGACCCTTCTAAGTCGCCAGTATCTTCTTGAGAATGTTTCCTTGACCTGCCTCTCCTCAGTACTGGTTTCAACAGTACCTCTGCCTGTATGGAGGATTCAATCTGCTCCTTAGCTATACTTTCCGTAGGGAGGTCCTCTATTTCAATAATATTTTGTTCACAAACTTGCAAGTTTGTATTTGTTTTTTGATTCGCATCTGCTGATGGTTCTAAACTAACTGAATCTAGGCTACCGGAACTTGGGCCTTCGGCAGCTTCGTCTGTTTTACTGACCTCGACTGTTTCTTTTTCTTCCGAAGTTATAACGTTACTTTTCGGACTATTACCAATTAATTCTTTTCGAGCAGAAGATTCATTTCCATCGGAAACCATGGTTGGTTCACGTACAGCTGCAGGTGATTTTGAACAGCTTTTGGATTTACGTTTTTTCGATGTATGTTTTTTCTTTTTTTGATCCGCATCTTTGGATTTTTTACATTTGGTGTGTTCAAATTTATCACTATAGTCTTTTTGCTCTACTTCTGGTTCAATACCGTCACTAGTCCCTTCAAGATCCTTTCTTAGCTGTTCAAGTGATATCTCACTTTTCTGTACCTGAAGCTCCAATATTTCTTGAACTTTGTTATCTTCAATAGGAGATATTCCAATATCTTTTGTCAATGCCTCCAATGCTGCGTCAACCGCTATTGCACCATCATCGCTAATCTGTTGCACAAGTTCTACAGTTTTTTCAGTCTCCGGTTCTGTGGCGAATTCAATAAACTCTTCCGAATCCTCTCCAATCACAAGTTGTCGAACTCGCCGATGTTTGGTTCTCGTTTCAACCGCAGTCTTATCACGAGCCAGGTCGGCAATTTGGTGATTTGGCTCAAGAACTAACTTTTGCGTATCATCTTTCGCACCCTCATCTACATTTAAAAGTTTTACGGAGTCTTGTAAAGTCACTTTATCAGAAACTTCCAGTGCCTGCTGGGAAGGGGTAGGTTTGCTATCAATACTTTCATTTTCCTTAAACAAAAATATTATATATCAGACATTGATAAATTAATATGTAAATCTAAATCTTCAAAAAACTGTGAACTCTGAAATTACGTTTTGGCATCTTGCTTGAAACCAAATTAAATATTTCCAAAACGTTTGAAAACAAATTATTATTTCATTAACGTAACTAAGTTGAAGGAATTTGGTGAATTGTGCTATCGTAAGACATAAAAATCTGTTTATGAGAATAAATATAAAAATGTTGCATTTGAATCTTATACTGGACAAAAGTGTCGGATACATTAATACGTTACAAAAAATATAATTTAGAAAGGAAAATAAAAGACTAAAATAATATTCAAAATTATATTGCCACCATTCTAATTATAACAAATTCGTGCAGTATTAAAGATGTAAATAAACAATTAATAAGGCCAAATTTCTCGAACGTTTTGTAAAATAATCGTTAAAAAATCTGCTCTCTCGACTGATATAATTTTGAGATGAAAATCAAATGATTATTTCAAAGCTAGATATGTTAAAATATACTTAAAATTAAAAATCATCTATGAATCATTGAAAGTAAATACCTCTTTTTCCTTCCTCGTGTCTTCTTCGATTTTGCGAAACCCCGCCTCAAAGTCTTCAAATGACGTGATAAACCTCTTCTTGGAGGTACCACTCCTTGGAGAAGCCGTTTCCTTTAAAGTGGTACCTCCTTTGTCAGGAAATTTTATGGTCCTGGCATCATGAAAATTTTGCTCCGGTTTCAGAGTTTGGGCTAAATTTTCCAAAACTGGCACCTCAGTTTCATCCATTAGTTCTTTAAATGTGTTTTCTAAAGATGTGTCATCTTTTTTTGGCGGTTTCTCTTGCACTTGACTGTCATCAACAATGTCGACTTTTTCTATTGCTTCTGGCTCAGCTTTAAAAATTTTTAGTTCTTATAAAATGATTAGCAATGATCTAAGAATACATACAATGTTTAGTGTAACAACTAAACATCTCGAACTGATTAATACTGAATATAATGTACAAACTGTATGTACATGGAATTGTTCATAAAGAAATGTTTGTTTTCAAGATTTAACGAGTACATGTTCCATAAAAAAGTTAAATTGAAAATTTTATCAGATGATATTAAAAGAAATTTAAGCGATACAATTTAAAAAAATAATTAGTGATCTGAGTGGCTGGTCTATTGGAATAAAAAGCGTATTTTTATAGAATTTCCGACTAATATTTTTTCATTTGCCCTTATTTTTATCGTGTCGAAATTCATTTATTCGTTTTAACTATGTACTATCTACCTTTAGACGCTTCATCTTCTATTTGATTCTGTTCCATAAGCTCTGATATACTAGCTCTCGGTTTTTCTGGGATGACTCTTGGAATTTTACGACCTGTTGATGCTGGAAATAGAAAGTCTTCCTCGTCCTCCTCTTCATCAAAATCAAAGCAGTTTTTAATGTCGTCTTGTGTCTTTTTTCCTTCAAAATCGGATGAATTATCCAATACTTTAGAAGTGTCCGAGGATCCGTTTGGAGTAACTTTATTTGCCTGTGTATCTATTAAATGTTGAAATGTTAATAAAGGGAAACAAAAGCGTGTCAGGAAAAACATAAATACAAATAATTACATAAACATTATAACTTTTCCATGAATGTAAATAAACCCACCATTATCTCCAACTTTAGGTTTGAGATTTTTGGTTTTAGAAGATTTTTTGCTTTTTTCTGGAGTTTCGATTTCTTCAGTTTCCTCATCTGTGTCATCCCATTCTTCCAATAAATTTGTGAATTCAACAGAAGACTTAGATGCATCCGCCGCCACTTTCTTTTTGCGCTGTTTCGGTTTTGGTTGCTGCACTACTGCACCTACAGTCTCAGAGTCGCTGTCCGACAGTTCAATATGCTTCACTTTCTTACTTTTCCTTTTAGTTATATATAAACCTAAAAACGATACGCAAATCGGTTTAGCTAATATTAGCTAAAACAAACGTGCCCTACTCAAGAACACACCTTAAATACATTTTGCTTAAACCAACCATCTAAATATATGATTTATAAAATTACCTTCTATGTGTATTCTACTATGCCAAAGCAGAACGCGTGGTCTGCTTGTAGAAAATGAGCATGAATGACAAACTAAAACTTCTTCAGGTTCTTCATTATCCGAATCGGGTTGTATCATGATGTAGGCTTTATAGTCATCATTGCCAAGAAATCTCCGGTGGGTAATAAGGGAATCATTGCCTTTTGGTACGGACTCTGAATTATAAATAATTTTTATTTTATATATGGTGAATTTAGAACTATACAAGTGAATATATAACGAATACAGACTAAAAATGTTCTGTCTTCTTTCTAATTCCACCAGATTATGTAAACTGCACTTACTTCTGACGGCTGAACTACTTTTGCCTTTTTTTGAAGTTGCATCACCAAAAATTTCATCATAGTTGATCTTTTTATTAGGTAAATATTCGGGTTGACTTAATATGTTAGGGTTGCCATTCGTTTTTTCTTCCGCAGTGCCAATATCTCTAGGAAACGTGGCTAAATGCGGAAGTTTTGCACGAAAACCGGCTGAAGATAATTTCAATGTAAATCAGTAATCACACCAGTAAAATATTCTTAGATAAAACTTACCCATTCCTTTCTTAATGAAATTAATCTTTTTTTCGCAGTTGTAAGGGTGGATATTGGACCAATGTTTGATATACTCACTGAAAATTAATGTCTGATATTAAGCTCACAAGTCACTTGATCCATTTAGTCCAGAAATAAATAAAAACTATTCGCAAATATTTTCACCCAATTATTGGATGAGTTATACATATTGAGTGCTAAGCTTTTATAGCGGTCATAGATGCAAAATCGCTGTTGATTTCCAATCAGATCGACATTGAATAATACCTATATAAAACATTTTTATATCATTAGAAAAGTCAGTATGTATAAGAGGTATAAATTTGCCATAATTATCAAGAAGGCAAATTCCTAATTTTAGATGTTTCAAGTGTGAAAACAGTTATTAATCTACTTTCTAAAGAAATCCCTTGTAGAAGATTTTACAGCATATTAAAAGAACTTAAAAATTAACAAGTGAGCACAACAAGTGAACATAATCAACCTGTATAAAAAATTTACTGACTCAAACAAGGGTTGATCTGAATAAAGACATTCTTGAAATTACCAGCATATTGAGAATTAACACAGTTAATGGGTATTATTGCAGATAACTTTTGTAATATAACACTAACTAAAATAATTTTATACATAATTTATTTTGCAAGCCAGCAGTTGGATTAGCATATACATATTCAGGTAGATTAAGTTCAATGTATAGAAAATCGTTTAGGTCTTGTGAGTTATTTTAGTGGAACATTATAGGGGAGGTATTCAAGTTGACTTCTCAGGAGCTACTTTGAGGGTACTTATTGTTCTTGGTGACATGTACGAACCGAAAACACATCAGCGAGTTTTGGTAATAAAACGTGATTAGTAGTGTCGGTTACAAGGCTAACGGTTCCTTCCAATAAGATGATATTGCTATCAGGGGCTGATTGTTAACTCCTTTATGACTTTAGATGGACAATAATATAACGCTAGTAGTTAGTGTAGTGAATGGCGCGCATAAGTATAACAGATAGAACTTACTATGAATCTTCTTCGAAAAACTTCACGATGACCAGGGGACGCTTTTTAAAGTCTGATAGCATATCACTGGGCAGGTCTTCCTCATTTTTTACCTCGCCAGGCCACCAGTAGCCACTCAACTTTACCCAAACAATATCCCCTTTAATGTAGGTAGGAGGGCTACCCTCAATAACACTTCCCTCGAACATGATGCAAAGTTATTAAAACCAACGAGGTCTATAACCTAAAACATCACTCTATAGAAACTTTTCCAACTTTTCCTGAATTCCCAAGCACAGCGAGCTAGGTAGATATTGTTGTGGTCTGACATATAGCCGCTCAATTGGTTGGTTTGCAAATACCTGATAAAGTTTGCTTTATTTCTGTTTGTAAATCAAAACATCACGCACTAGCTTGCACTCCAAATGAACTGCAATCCACTAAAGAGTTTCCTTCGTCACATGGGACACAAATTTGCCTTAAAGCAGTCTCACAATGTTTGTTTTTTGCGAAAATGCGTAACAATGGTCATTTGTCAAGGGACGTTCATGATTTACCCATGATTCCCGAGTACTTGGCGTCGCCATGTTGCCAACCGTAAATTGTTTAAATAATGTCGAATTTTCAAAATTCTGAACATAGGCAATGATACTAATAGCTGATTAATTTTCCAAATGTTATCTTGCTTCTGAGGGAACCTTCGAAGGTGACAAATATGGCGCAAGTGGAAATTGGAGCTGTTATAAAATGTATGTTGTATTGGTCACCATGGCTGTCTAAATGAATAGTCGTTGGGCGATAAACTGCAAGGCCTGGCTAGGTATAGCTCTCTCATTTTGCACATATTAGACGAAGATACCACACTCATTGGATGGCGTACGTTTGACATTATCATTCTTATCTTCAAGAAAAGCAAGTATCGGTACGGAAATTTCCAAATTTCTAGATTCTAGATAGTCCGGGCTCAAGGTTCCTAAAATATACTTTAAGATATATAATAGATTTGTTTTTTGAAAACCCATTTTTTTTAATCCATCCATTTGTCAATATCAATTGAAATTATTTCAGTTTTTGGAAAATGCCAAAATGTGTTATTATTGTAGCTCACAAAAATATAACCAAAAAATGACAAAAAGTGAACGAGTTAATTTTTAATCATTTACTTCCTCACATAAGTATATGCATAAGTTTTATAAACAATTTTATATCCTAATAGTACCTACTTTATATGTATATCCTTTTTTGAACACCTAGTCTAACACCAATTGATCCGTATGATCCGTAACGTTCCTATCTTCAATTTCCTCAGCTTTTTCCAATCCCACTGTATATTGAGCTTGATAAAGTTGAGTTTGCTTCATGGCAGTATACAAGCAGAATAATAAATGCATGGACTGAATCTTGTTTTTTGCTTTGGGAATTTGGAAATAGTTACAAACAGTATCAACGTAGCTTGATAGTGGTTGGTCTTCGTTGGGGCGCGGAAAGCCAGCTTCTTTAAATTTCCGTTCCAAATCCTCTGGCCATTGTTGCATCAGATCATCAATATCCGGCATAGGTCTAAAGTAGCATTCCTTAATTAACTGAGTAAACGCAATAACAGTTTTTGGGCAGCTTACTGAGAATATCGGACTACTGGAGAGCATTTACTCTTATGCAGATGCGATACATCTTTAATCCACTTTTCAATCACTTTGGAATTTTTCTCAACGTTGCTAATCTTTTTCACTACCTTTAAACAAACAGGCAAATAGATAATATTAACTGATTAAAGGCAATACCCACTATATGCTTTTGCTCACTGCTGGTCATCAGACTATCATTTTTAGCTCTGAGCTGTAAATGTAGCAAAGCAGGGTCGCTCTGGTTTGAGGCTGGCTCATCCAGCACTACGAGGCCCAGTTGCAATACATTCTCATCAAAAACTTCTCCACTAGGAGTGGTATCTGGAGGAATGACTTTAAGAAAAGCATCAATATCGCCCACTGCCGGCAAAAATTCCGGTATAAAAGGCTTAAATTTGTATTCAGTGGCCACCTTCGCAGGACTGTACCTACCAAGAAATTTTGCGTATTTTAGTGACTACTGGCCGATTAGATTAAATAGATCTCAATGTTACCTTACGATATACTCAAAAAGCTCTGCAACTTCGGATTGAACTTGCAAATTGGCGAATTGCGCTGGATCATATTCCCCAGGATTTTTTTTCTCTTGTTCCTCATTTCCACTGTCCTCGCTATCGCTGGCATTCGAAGTCTTGCCGCGATTAATTCCTAGTCTTCTGTTAGAAGATGAAGCGGATTTTCTCCTTGGCAAAGCCTCTGGTTTTCTACTATTCAAGAGGGTCTAACAATTAAACAATTAAATAAAGTATAGTAACAGGCGCTAAAAACAATGTTACTTTCGGGTCCAGAGGCTGAGGTGGCAGTTTCTTAGGACTAATGTGACTCAAGTCTTTCGAATTTTCCGGCTCGGAGTCTGAAAATTCGGACTTCAGGTCGAATGGCTGGACTTCATTTGGTTGCTCGTCTTCATCCAAGTCTTCATCCTAAATCAAATCAGAGCCAGTTTGTTGCAATAGTTAACAGAAAAGCAAATATTTCGTAGATCTCGATGGAATTCTAGTTTTTAAATAAAATATTTACTTACGTTCACAATAGAAAATGATCGTTGCATATTTAAACAATAAAAATATTTTTCTATCAACTTATTTTTTATTGAACAGTCCAGAAAATCATGTATGAAGCGATTTTATACATATATTTAATCGATTTTAGAGTCCAAACTAATGTTGTTGTTTTGAGCTGCCAGGCAACAATCATTGAACGCATAATCTTCTACACCATGTTAAGGTCTAAAAGTATTAACGTATTTTACCTAAATATTCATTTGTACAGGATAACAAAATAATTTATTTATTTTATTATTTTATAATTATATAAATATTATAGAATAAAAATTTATATTTCGCCACTTGCGCCATACTTTCATAAGCCAACAATAAAAAAAATTCAACATTAACTTTATATTTTAAAATTAACTAAAAAGTACTTTTTGTATCGAAAATTCTAAATATTGATTGATATCAATAGAGCCGAAATTATGTAAATAGAAAGATAAAAACTTATCTATTATTAAGTTTAATTGCTCAAAATTGTAGCCTAAAAGAATGGCAAGAAATATTTGTTTCTTCGAGTCTTTTCCGCTAACATAACTGCAGTTATAATGTTTCCATGGAAAACCTTGATATGAACAAATATAGTTAGGGTTTAGCAACATTGCTTGAAACTGGTACGTTTTCCAGTCTTTTCATAGAAATCTAAAAATATATTTAAAAATTAAACCGGCAACAGATTTTAAAGAAAGGGTCTCTGTTGATTTCTAAGATTTTTAAGAGAGACTATCAGCCTACCGAAAAAAATCTAAACGTTTTATTGTCAGCTGCGACAAGAATATAAACTTTCCTAAAATCATTAAAAATTAGTCTGGGTGCATTCTTACTTAATCAGTTTGAAAGCTGGTCGGATCATGTAAAAATATCATTACATATTTGTTTTGCTAAAATAGTAACATGTGAGCGAATTGAATTTTAGTTATTAAATTATGCTTTAACACCAAAATTGATAATTTACTAACCGTTAACGAATTCATCTCCAAATTTATCCGATATAATTTAAGTCACTTCGTCGATTGTTTTCATGTTGAATAATGCAAGACAAATCTTTTTATCTCAAACAAACAAACAAACAAAATATATTCTTTCATGGGAATGGGAATAAGAAAAAAACAAAACAAGTTTTCTACTCATTTGAAGCATTTTATAATCACTATTCAAAAAACCGCTTAGAAACTCAATTTTTCCAAAGACATGTTAAATAAATCAAATAATACAACACATCCTATGCATAAGCATACAATAAACCAATCAAAATACTTATTATAAGTGATAAATTAGGCTAAATCGAAATTAAATCAATTAAATATCACGCAAAAAACTTTAGAAAATCAAAGTTTACAAACATATTCACGATAAATTAATTCTCAAAGAGAAGTGACTTAAACCTAGAACGAAAGGAAACTGGCAATTAAACCTTCTATTGAGCAGTCTAGTTAATCAGAGAAGATAAATACAACATTTATTCCTCTTCATGGGCAGATAAAAGCACTTTCTGGCAAAAAATAGTCGCATGTCCTAAAAATAAATGTATTAAATTTAGTCAGCACTAGTTAGTCGATCAAAAACTTACTCATAAACTTGTTAAACTTCTTTGGCTTCTTTTCTTGCATAATACCAAAGTAGTATACAGGCACTCCACTTAAAGTGATCATAACTCCTCCTAAAAGTACTAAAGGAGACTTCACAACGGGTAAAATCAACAGGAATATGCATATGATGACGAACATAATAGGAACTATGATATGAACTTTAATCGGGCGTGCCATTTTAGGATACTTCCACCTAAAATTTGATTCTTTATTGGTTAAAGGTACTAATAATGAATAAAGAAATAGCGAAGTTTCTAGCTGTTGGAAAATGCTCACCTTAAATACAGAACCCCAGAAACCGACAATGTTACGAAAAAGGTTTCTACGATAGTACAGTAGTGAATAAGAAGCTGAATGTTGCTTGAACACAACATTATCAGAGAAAGCACATTCTGAAAAATTGGCATTCCAAAGATAAAATGAAGCAATGAAAGCACAAAAGAATAAAAGCGATAATGTGTAAACTTACCAAAAATAATAAGCTAGGAACGGGAGTGAGCGTTTTCACATTTAAATGAGCCAACATTACTGGGAATTGGTCATTCCTAGCTCCTGCATATAACATTCTGGATGAGGACATGATGTGCACGCTCAAACCTCCAAAGGCAGAAACAGCCACTAATAATGCCAAAATCCAACTGTACTTTCCTAATACAGCATTCCCAAAGGTCTGAATAAAAATCCAAAAGTCTAAAGGAATTATCGAAGAGAAATCGAAACACTTACCACAGCAATTGCATCTGTAGAAACAATAGCAGCAGGAGTTAAAACGGACATGTAGGCCATATTGGCCAAAACATAAATAGTCGTGACCAGCGGTAGTGAAATATAGATTGCTCTGGGTAGATTTCTACAAGATTTTCTTAGGAAAATTTGAATTTTATATTTACAAAACTTACACAAATGGATCTTGCAGCTCTTCAGTCATAAAGTTAAGATAGTTCCTAGACAAACACACGTTTTATAATTATTTGCAATATATTAGGTGCTGTCGTACTTACCATCCAGAATAAGAAAAAATACCACTGTAGAAAGCGGTAGCAATTTTTCCCGGATTTGTTGTTGTATGAGCAAAGGCATTTGAAAAATTCTCTATATTGCCAAGGCACATCCACACAATGCCAATGGAAACTATGAGTATCAAAGCCCCCAGTTTACAGAACATGAACACATTCTGCAGCTTCATAGTCACTTTAACATTGTAAGAGTTAAGAAATGTCAAGAAACCTAAAACAATCCCATATTACAACAAATTTAATCTAACTAGTTGGGGAAATTTGTACTTTTCATTTCAATTAAACTAAAAAATACGACATACAAATCACGGCAGCAGCAACCAATCTAACGCCCAAATCCGGCATGTCGCAATTAGGGAAAAACGGTTGAATCACATATTTTGCAAATGTTAATCCCATTATTGAATTGGTGGTAGGCCTAGAATGTTTGAATTACGGAAAAACTGTTTTTAAGAGAAACCATTGAACCCACTTACACAAAAATCACATTGGCAGCCCATAGATATAAGAATGATGGCAACGAGCCATAAGCTTCATTAATATAAGTGTAATCACCACCTGATTTTGGAATACAAGTTCCTAATTCTGCATAACAAAGAGCTCCTATCATTGATAGCAGACCACAAAGGATCCAGAGCACGAGAGCACAACCTACAGAATCCACTTCTTCAATTACACCTTTTGGAGATATAAAAATTCCTGAAAATATTGTGATTATAACAGTTTTATTTAAAATTTGAACTAAAAAATTGTGACTGGTGGCCAGATCCGAAAATCATTTAATTGGTCAACGGCTTACCAGATCCGAAAATAATTCCTAAAATGATTGCAACCCCTTCAAGGAGTCCCATATGTTTCTTCATTTTAATTTTCTCATTTTCAGTAGTTTGTGGACTTTGCGCATCCAATATAAGTTGGTCTTCTGTTGGACTTTTCATTTGGGTTGTAGATGGCATGTTTATTATCTACAATCACTTTAACAGATGGCCACTATGTATGGCAAAAACATCGCATTAAAAATTAATTTCAAAATTACACACCAGTTAGCCACTATTTCTACTACTTCTTGTTTACACCTCCCTGATGCATTTATGCATTAGTTAATTATTTTTCAAATAAATGGATAATGGTGACACATACGAAAAACATGGAAGATACAGGAAAGTTTCTAAATTGAACAAGGAATTAATAAAAAATATATTTTACTTCAGGGGTGTATTTCCTTCATAAGTTCAGCAAAAATGGTACTGTATAATCAATGTATAGAACATACAATAATGTATGAAGACTTTTTAAATACAATTTATCGTTGCAACTAACATTTAATTTTTTTGTGTTCAAATCAAGTGATTTAAATGACTACTTTTAATTTTATTACTCTTAAGGGCCTTGCCAATTCTCACTTTTATGCTTTTCCCGAATTAACTTAAATAAAATAACAAAAAATATTGAAAAATGACTGAGGTATGGAGACTTTTTCTACTGACTGTAAGAATTGTTAAGTGGACATTAATTGGAAAGACCAATATGGGTCGACAGCCCTTCTATCTAACAAATTAAGATTTTCATTGCTATGTACTACTATTTCTAAGTTGAAAAATTCAAAATTGGGAACAGCGCATCTGAAATGGTCCACTCTTTCTTGTCTCTTTTATAGAGTAATTCAGACTCTCTCTTTATAATTGGTCCCCGTGTTTTGAGCCCCTATATATAGCAAGTAGTACTGTGTTTGATTTATTGATAAAATTAATTGAAAAAATAAATATTTATTGCCTTTTTAAACAAAAACGTTAAAGCTTCTAACTACAATACACTTCGTACCCTTTCTTTCGGCCAATATGTATCGGTCTACAGTAAATTTATATGTACTTATTTATATTTACCTTCTAATTAACAATCGTATAAACAATATACTCAAACACGTGAAAATCATAGGTTATGCCGTAAAAATTAAGGCCAAAACTCAGGGCAGGAAACACAATTATTTGGAAAATGTGTACATTAATACTATTGGTGGAACTGCGAGTAACACCCTTTACGTGATTTCTGTCAACACACAGTCAGCTGATCTTGTCAGGTGACAATAATTAAATAAAAAAAGTTCTCATTTAAAAACAGCTAAAAATGGCTCTTCACAGTGCAGTTAAAGGAAAATTGATTTCTGTTATTGGCGACGAGGTAACATAAATCTGACTAGTATCTAATAAGCCGTTACATTTTCGTTTGGACATTTAGGACACCTGTGTTGGATTTTTACTGGGCGGTGTGGGTGAAATGAACAAAAACAGGCACCCCAATTTTATGGTTGTGGATAAGAGTAAGTTGGTTCATTATCCTTATTATTTGTTCCATTTATTGAGCAGCGAAAGGCAAAATGTAGTAACTTTCTTTTGGGTTGAAGCTAATAACACCATGTCCTTTTTCTCTAATAGACACTGCAATCAGTGAAATAGAGGACTGTTTCAAACGTTTCCTGAAACGAGATGATATCGATATCATTTTGATCAACCAGAACATCGCCGAAATCATAAGACATGTAGTTGATAGTCACAGCAGCCCACTGCCTGCAATCTTGGAAATACCTTCTAAAGATCATCCATATGATTCGGCAAAGGACTCAATATTGAGACGAGCCAGGGTATGTACATTTTCTAATCCAGCTTGCAAAAGTTACATTTTTAGCCACTTAATTTGGTTGGTTTATTGCTTAACATTTATTTTCGGTTTTAGGGCATGTTCAATCCAGATGATATGGCTTAGATTAAACTGTCCATAAACACGAGCTTCATGGATTCAAAGTATTGTTATAGTGTAAATAGTCTACATTCCTGGTTTAAAAACAGTTCGTTTTTGATTATTTAAATGTATTCAATTGGTGAGAAATTCATCTTTACAAGTATTACAGAAATAAATTCTAGACGATTTATAGTTTCTTTTATTTACAACAAAATCAAAAGAAATAAGCCTTTTTAAGGATTCTTGGATTACTGTAAAATATTTCGTAAAGTTCTGTTTACCTCCTGGAAAAAATTTTGAGATAATTTTAAATAAAAGCAACTTATCTGGTGGTGCCACGCCCATTCAACCATTTTATAGACTGAAGCTCGAATATATATTGCAGTTGAAATATTTACATGCTTAATTATCAAATGATGACCAACTTTTCTTTTTGAAATTTATAAAATATTATTGGGAAAAAGTATATGTAGATACGGGGGTGTTCTGTGTATAAGACACAGATCACAGAGGTGAGCTGTGGATAGGTTATTTCGGTTGTCAAATTCACATTTAAATTGAACCAAACGTTTTCAAGTTTGTTTTAACATGTTTTACAGTGAAGTTTTGAAGAATGTGCCCAGCAACTGGAGCCCCATGACCACCGATGATAGGTATGTTCAAAATTTGCTCTTAAATGCTGCATTTAACAGGTAGTTATAAATAACCTCAATTTATACCTGAATACTAAGAACCAAAGAGTAATATTTACTAGAACTCTTCCTCAAATCGAGGCTTTACTAGTTCATGTTCACCAAATAACCAGCATAATATTTCAAAAACTCAATTAAATGGTTCGAGTTGTTATTGCCATTTGGTCTTAATAAAAATACTAAATCTTTAACACATGAGAGTAAATGTACTAGTTCGGTTGAAAAGGGGCGAAAAAAAAAACGATTTTAAATGTTCCATTTTCTGCCTGAATAGATATATGAAGAAACCATTAATGCCTTACACTGAAGAATTTGCGAAAGTTATAGAACTTCTATGCAAAAGGCAATATTACGGAAGGCAGTTTGGAATTTTTCGGATACAGAACCCGCTTCTTTGGAGCAAATTTCTGCTACGAAAGTCAGAATATGACCAGAGAGGCCCTGTTGAGATTAAAACCCTATATCATGACACGTCGATAGCGAATGCTGAGTCAATTATCGAATTCAATTTCGATTGGCGAATGGGTAAGTTCAGCTGGGAAAACCTGAATTGTATAAATATTTTTAGTTAGAAATCATAGATAAAAACTTAAAAATTTCTCTCACAGATATCAGCAGATTGGTGCGAATTTTTGCTATCTTTCACACTTCGCATAAATTACTGATTTGTTCAGTTGTCGAGTTTATTTAATTTCTCATCGTTGTGAAATTATTCCTTTATTCCTGTTTGTTTAATTTTTTTGTCAATATTACTATATATACACTCTTGAAAAAGGGACCTGAGTACTTACTTATATGAACAAAAAATATGTATGTACCTACCTATCAACGATTAAAATTCTCTTTGTTTTGTTCTGTTCAAGAACTTTCAATGATAGCCAAAAGTTTGTTTTGCGCTTTTAACTGTGTACCTTTCCTTTTTGCCTGAATATGACCACACAAATAAAAAACAGCTTTTGTTAGGTTTTGAAAGTGTTTTCACAGCTTCTTTCTTTTTAAGTGCCTTTTCATTTACTTCTAATAAATTTATACAATTTTTCCACCAAGTGAATAGTTTTTAAATGTTGGCGATCGTTTACCGCAACACTTATCATCATTTTTATAAGAAATTAAGTTTAGCTTCGATTTCCAATAGAGTGCAGTAGTTTTGAAAATAGTCGTCTAAATAAACTTCTGGAGAAGATTTTAACGCATCAAGAAAAAATCCTAAAAATGTCCCATTATTACTCTAGTGTCTAGGTCTCTAATATCTTTTCTAGTAATGGTTGACACATTATCATGGTTTAATCTGAAAAAAAAAGAATCACAAACAGGAAGAAACAAATTAAAATTAAATAAAACTCTGTCTTGCAGTCGTCGAGGGCCCAATTTCTGTGTTCCTTAGCAAAACGCAGTCTAGCAACTCTATGTTTTCTGGTGAGCAGTGGCCCCAAAACCGGTGTTTTACTGTTGATTTCCTTTTGTAAGCATTCTCTTGACCGTTCGTTCAGAAATTATTACATTACGGGCTTCTGATAAGGCCCTGCTTAGCTCTCTCTTAACTAGAAGAAGGTTTTTCAACTACTTGCTAAGATATCGCTCATCTCGAGCGTCTGAAGACTCGCTGGTTAACTAGAGTTACTGCTTTCACTGCTTTTTAACTATTTTTTCCAATAACACTTATGCAAATCTTCTCCAAATCACTGTAGTGTCTTTACAATTAGATTAAATTTATTAATTTTGCACAATATTATAGGGCAGAGAACAAAGTATGGACAAGGAGTTTATTTTTCCGTTGAAGCCAGCGCAGCCTTTAGACATAGTACTAAAGATGGCAGTCGTCTAAGGGCTATGTTTGTGGTGGATGTGTTGGTGCAAAACGTTCAAGAAGGTCAGCCAAATATGTGCTTACCAGCAATTGGCTTTGACACTATTTTGGCTAATAATAATAATACTTACGTGAAGTTTTTTGATTCGGAATACTATCCCAAATATTTCATGGTATATGAACCGAACCCTTTTTTTTTCTAGTTTCAAACTTTTACCGTGAAGGGTAGGTCAAATTGACTCCAATTGCAACACGTTATAGAATATTGTTATTAAAATGTAGTTTTTAACATCAACTTTACGAATGGACGCTATTTTGTATGATATTTTATGATAACGAATCCACTTCATCAGCCTCGATTCCTACTGAACCACTGCCTTCCAAAGTCTCCAGTAGGTAAGCAGCCACGTAACATGCAGACGCATTTTGAAGTCGTACGACACGAAACGAGTATGCACTGAAACAAAATGTATCTGCAAAAAGGAATGCATGAGGCATCGTAATAAAACAACGCATGGGAGAATCCAACATATTTTTTTAACTTACAGGACGATATGAATATGCTACCTATCGCCTTTATCAATTGAAGCAATGAAATAACCACACACGGTTAGACCCCCGATTTACTGTGAAATTTAAAAACGTGGTGCGATTCAATTCAAAGTAATAGCAGTACAAAAAATATTTACTAATTATTCTTAGAAGCAAAACAAACATGTGACCAAAAAGTGACCATTCTTTGACTTGCCCTCATAATTTCAAGGACACTTTTTATACTAATGTGAGAAACAAAGCCTGAAAATGCGTCAAACTCTTAGCCAGTAGGTACATATGCCATGACGCATATTTTGTGATAATGAAAGTTTCTTGTTGGTTACAAGTGAAATTAATCTAAGATTTAGATTTAAGATCAAATGCAAATGTTGCAATATTTTTATGTATGTTAATAATATAATTAATCATACAAATAAATATTTTAGTGCATTTGTTAATACATTTTTAAGAGCGGTTAAAAAAGGCCTTTGAAAAGTCAGAGTTTAGTTATTAAGTTTTTATACTTACCTACTGTTTATTATTTGTTACTTTGGACATGTTTTTGACTGGGTTACCATTAATTACGATTATTAGATATACTGTATAAGATTAGTTTACAAGCCTTATTTGTCAGGCACTTTTTTATACTCTGTTGTTGATTTGCCATTTGACCAACTTATTATGCTAAATAAGTGTAAGTTGCCCCTGGAAATGCATTTCTTTTGCAGCCCATTCAAAGCTTCTGAACTTCGATTTCGGAAAACCAAATCGAATCTAATACCTCGAACAACCGTTTATAAAAATATGTTATATGTGAAATTGTTAACCATTGAACTTTTTATCCCATAGGTGAATCAACATATCAGTCATGACAAATATATATTATTTTTACACTTTTATTAAAATATTCATTTGTCCCAATTCGACTCAATATTACAATACAGAATAGCAATTCGTGTAAATTAAATACATGATATAAGCATTATTTGCTGCTTATGTTAGGCTGGTGGACTAATGTCTTCTTGGGCCGAAACATTCTGTAATGTCTGTTAATAATAGAAAGACTTGGCAAAGGAAATTTCAGCTGATCACGCATGTACCTATAAAAATCGCGCGACACCATACATGATATCGTATATGCCACTGCAGTATCATCCACACTCCATTTTGCCTTCTCTTTATTGAACAGATGTCTAATTTGAGCTGGAGACAAACATTTCCTTAACATTTCTAGTTGTTTATCGCCAAGCAATTTGGTTTCTAATTCCGTATCTTGAATTTCTTTCTCTATTAATCTTAAAGAGCCTGTCAGTTCCTTCTCGCATTCAGCAAGCTGCTTCTGTTCGTCTGAAAATCACCAATTCAAACAAACTCATTTTTAAATAACTGAATCAACTTACCAAATAGTTGGTTTTTAAGGGTCTCCAAACGTTTCAATTCGCGTCGAAGTTCATCTGATTGTGTATCACAGTTTTTTCGAGACAATTCCTGCCTGCAACTATCGGAACTTGGCGAGCCATCAAAACTACTTAGATCCGAATCAATACTGCTTAGGTCAGATACAGAATTACTGAGAAGAGGCGCTGGTTTTTCCAGAAAATTATCGCGGAGTTCAACGGTGTAAATTCTCACCATTTGTGTGGAAGGTTCATCACTATTTGCCGCCACAGGAAAAATGCTAGGAACTACGGATTTCTTTAAAGAACGATTTGCTTCAAAATTATTCTTTTCAAAGTGATTGGCACATATCAAAACTGAAACAATTGAGAAGTACAATGTCAATTAGTTACCAGAGTTAATGAATATAAATTAATAAAAAAAAACTAATTGGAATTAATATTATCCTAATACATTTTAAAGATTTTTCAGTTCAACTTACTGTTTGATAATGGGGTATCATCCAAAATATGTCCATTTAAGGCCTGCATCCATGTGTTTCTTCTGAATTTGTCTTTGGGCAAATAATAGAAAGTGATATAATCCATAGCTGCTTTTTTTCCATTTGAGCAACCGATAACACTGCACAACGGAGTTGCTTTTTGCATCTTGGCGGTTTGAATGGTTCAATTTAAATATTGCCTGCCCAAGCTTGAACACAGCTTAACGCCGGTAGTGGATAATTTAAAGTATGCCTTAAATACAAATATAATTCTTTGCCTCCTCTATGCCGTAACGTAAAAGCCTTGGCTAAATCGTCGTCAGTCCAAAAAACTTTTTTCTTTCCTTTTAAAAGGTTTATCTGTGCTTCAGAAAGAAATGTTCTAAAAGGAACTGGTGAAAAAAAGGAACATTAGTCACATGAAATACTTACTCTGGAATATTGGGTGATAATATACTTTCTAATTCCTGAGCAACTTTTTTTAACTTCTTTCTAGATGCTTCTAAGCTAGCTTTCTTGTGGTGGATGACTATTCGACTATCCGCATTTTTTTTTTGTAAATCTAGTACCTCTCTGCGTAACGAGAAAATTTTTCGATGTAGATCGCTCTCTGATTTAGGTGCGTTTCCTAAAAAATAGCACAAATTTAAAGTAAATTCAAATGTACTATAAAATGTTTGCATAATATACCAGGAGCTTTAACAGCAGGTGGTGAAGCAGAAGGTTGGTATAATTTCTCAGAGAGTGTTGTAGGTAATTGGTTGAGTGCAAATGGTGAATAAGGCCTGATATTAACTGAAGGTACTGCACTCTCACTTAGCAATCTTTTATATCCAGGATTCAACAGCTCCTCTTTTAGCTTTCGGCTGTAATCATTTAACGTAAAATGATCTGAGCAAATTTTTGCATTTGTAATTCCAGTTTCCTCCGGCAAGCCGCACGCGTCCAACCACTGGCGACGAGTTCTTTCACAGGTGGGGAAATTGTGGAATTTGAATGTCGCAGACTGATGACTTTTAAAATCGGTAAACTCGTTTGCACAACCGTAAACTGCACACTTAAATGGCAGTGTCCTAAAAGCAGTTTAAAAAAAAATCAGTAAAAAAATATTTGCCTTATTTTGAAGACGAACAGTCACTGGACGATTTAATAACGGCAATAATTAATTCCATATAAATTAGTATGATAAGTGAAGATACACCGTGTCGAAGATAAGAAAGGCCAGTATGGGGAGATAAAGGCATCCGCAAAAGTTACGAAGATGGTTGAAACGGCAATTCAGACTAATAAAATGAAGTTGATACCAATTTTCGTGTTTTATTTGCGATGAAGTCAAAAAACACTATTAAAAGTTAGTTTATGTGATATTTATTCCTGACGATTCTTGAGATATTGTAAACATTCTTTGTAAAAATCCGCACTTTTCTTCATTAAGTTCTTCTTTGATTCAAGTTTGACACAGTTTTCAAGATATGTATTTTCCGGTTTATCTGGAAAACTAGTGTTGGCAAGTGGGTTTTTCGGTTCTTTGTCCAGGGGGATAAAAACGAGATTTCTGGCTCAATGGATTTTTTTTAATAATCGTTAAAGATATTTTAGATTTGTGTAAACTGCCGAAAAAGATTTATGATGGTAAAATTTCACTTTTCGTGTCATGTTCACTGAGAGATCCACTGAAATCGTGTTTCAAATTTACAAAATCTCGTCAATCAATGTTTAAATTTTTCAATTGTTCGTCCCTATTTCAAAATTTGTGTTTTGGTCTACTTGAAACTTAGAAACTGGTTGGAAATCAACCTAATACATTTAAGTTCTCAAATATTTTTACCTCTGCAGATCTGTAAACTTACGTTGAATACTGATGTAAATTGCAGAATGTTTTAAAATGTGGATATGTGTACATACGTTATTAGGAATGATATATACGTTTTAAAATCCATAGTTTATATAGGGGAAATATCGGGACATGTATCAAAGCGATGATTTCTTTGCAAGACATGGACCGGCACCAGGTTTACAAAATCACTAAGTATTTTATTTTTTTGCTATTAAGTTTCGCAAATTTTAGTTGGCATTTGGAAAAGCAATGTATTTTATACTTACCTATCGGTAGTGTCACATTTAATAATGCTCAGATAGTTAGTAGTAGACGACAATAGTTTGTCAACTCTTTCCATTAAAACAGATAAAGGAATACTTTATTTAATTATTTCGGTTTTCACTGTTGGAGCCAAACAAGCGTTCAAAACGGTACACTTTAACCTAAATTTTAGGTTATTACAATCAGCATTGAGTGTGAAGTATGATTCTTCTCTAACCTGAACTGAATTCTTTTCATGATGTTCACTTTTCGCTTTAATTTAGTTCATAATTGCGTCTGAACAAAAAATTAACAATATTGCAGTGAATAGTTAAGGCCAATGTGTCTGAACATACATATATAGATAGAAGTTTTGTATCTATCCACAATAATTGAAATGAGTGACGTCGCTGCGAGAAACTTGGCGATTTTGGAATAAATGCTTATTCCTAGATTTTATTTTTGCCTAAAATTCTTTTATTATTGTGCCCCAATTGGCTTATTTCAAAATTTAATCAGATGCTTTGGAATTATAGATCATTTTCAACGATTCTTTTTTCAGTTCGTTCATTTACCTACTATTACTGCAATGTAAAATTCCTAATTTAAAAAAAAATGTTTCAGACAAGACAATTGTACATGTGTTTATGTATTTATATTATTACAATTTATAATATTAAATAAAATGTAAATTAATAGATTTCATAGATATTATTTACAACTTAAAACTTGATCTTGTGAAAATTTTAGTGTCCGGAAATTAAATGAGTGTTATTCGGTTATTCCATGCTTGAAATAAAGCCGTAAGTACTTTTGAACGTTTTGCAGGGGAAGAAACATTTAACACTGAAAGTTCGTTTTTCGATATAAGTCAATAGTTTTTTAGATTTTTTCAATTATTGCTTCAGGCAATATAAATGCTTTTATTTATTTCATCATCAACCGCAAATTTCGACATCTACTGCAAATTGAACGCTAAAATATTTAATTTACGTAAGCGCCTACCTATAAGCCATATTCAATATTGAATGACGAATATTTTCTTTTTATATTTTTATAATGTTTAGTTTGAATTTTATTTAATCTGCAAATGTACCTATGCAAATTATATAATAAATACTCGTAAAACTGTATCAAATAATTTTCGCAATGCGTTACAAAGACATAACCAGTTATTAATATCGCTCCCACATAGGAAACTTTTTCTCTGGCATTTCACGGAAACAATATTCCTTCTTAATCTTACTCTATCCTTATAAATTGTTCCCTGTATACTGCGCATTAACAATCACCTACTCAGAATGGAATATCAACGCCCCAGCTATCGATCCAGTTTGGAATACATAGCGATCCAGCATTTTCCCTCTTTCAGTAGTCCGATTTTCTTCGGTTGGAGCGTTTTTCGGTGAATCCAAAAAAATTCAGCCACGCAGTTTTCGTCGGGAAACTCTTTCACACAATTATTCATGAATGGAATATTGAACTATTAATACTTTTCTGGATTACTAGACTATAGTTTGTGTGTTGTGTTCACAAATACAAGACAATTAAGGTAGAATATTTTTTTATAATAAAAAAATATATGTACTTGATATAGAGATAAATGAACCATTTGCAGAAATATCTTTGGATCCCCTTCTATTTAGAAACAGAATAGAATTCTGGAACAAAATAATCTTTTATTCATTAACCCGTCGAGTCGACATTAGTAACCGATTCTAAGCGCATGGGGTTGCAGGAAGCAATCCATTATTAATTCCCAGTTGAAATGTCTATGCAATGTACCGATAGAATGGTATTTTGATTTTTTCAAATTTAAATTTTTACACTATCAACCATATTTATCATATTTTATTATAACGTAATGTTATAGTCATTTCTAAATTTGCACTTCAAATATTGCAAGAAACAGTATGGCAGAATTTGGAACTAAGATGAGAAAATTCGAACAATGAAACATCAAAAGTTTATATTTGTGTGTGAAGTGCGATTGGAACCCTTTATCAATAAATTAATGTGATTAACAGATTTCTCAGTAAAACGGCTTGTAACTAGACTCTACTTTTTGGCTTTTGCTTTACAAATATACGTATCAGTCACTATTTATTTGCATTGTTTTTTTTCTCATTACATATTCATTTCATTCATTCACTCTTCTTTGTTTGATTTTCAGCATTTATCTGCTTTGTTATGTTTATCTCTATTAAGATGCAAAGGAAATACTAGAGGTGTGTATTTTTAAATACTTTGAACTACCGATATCTGTTTCCATTATTATTTTTTGCTTTTCTTTCATTAGGAATAAGTTATTTTTTAGCTGCAAACATTAGGGATTGAAGTGTGAGCAGATTTCGAACTCAGTTGTGTGCTCGTAAATGGTGATTATTTAATTCCCCCAAAAAATAATTTTGAGGAAAGATTTTTTAATTATCGTCTTGATTTTTTTCAATGCAGACATTTTTCTACAAATTATCAATTGAGGTAGAAGTAAACATAATTTCAATTTCTTTGCGTATTGAACATTTTATTTCCTGATTTTCATAATTTTTTCAAATGTCTTTTTAGCTAAAAGCTAACTATATTTACCTATAGGTAAATCGAAAATTGCGAAAAGTATGCGATTTTTGTCGGAATTTTTATAAAATGTTTCAGAGCTATAATTTTACAATTTTAAATTACTTCCTAGTTGCACGCATACTTCCAAGCCCCATAGCGTAACAAAGATGACAAATATAAAATTTATTAAATATGTAGGTATACCTTTTAAAGCACGATTAACTAGAAAGTGTCTAGGTTTTCTAATATCAAAAGTATGTGAAACAACTGTTTTCTTCTCGGCAATGTTCTGAATAAATTGAATATGATATGTAATTATAAACAATAAATTAAATATGAACAATATAATAATTCACAAAATTGTACTACAACTGGAAAATCTATAAACTGTCGTATTGGGTACAAAAAATTCCGGTTTTAACTGCAGTTTAAACTTTTAACGTTGAGTAAAGATTCATGTGCGTTTTATCTATTGTCTGTTACTGTAAAAACTGCGAATAACTGGTAGTTTGTTATTTTATTTTAAGTTCCAAAATCTATAAGTTTTTATCTTCTTTATCTTGTTAGATTCTTCTTGTTTTCTGTAACAGTTATGGCGTTTTCATTTCAGTTTTAATTTATATTTTATATAAATCAGCGAATAATTGAGTTTTCCTAATATTTACTTCTAATTTTGTTTAACCAATTATTATAATTTTTTGAAGTATTAGGTTCAGTTGATTCAGACTCAGGTTTGCACTCATGAATGTTTTCATTATTTCTCCTTTACTCGTTTGTTAAAGACCTTAAGTTTATGTTATTTTGAATGGATCTTTCTATAAGTAGAGTCGAATAATAGAGGCGACAAGTGCGATACTTATTGAATGCAGCAAAAAGGGATTCACAAAAGAGTTAGAGAGAAGTTATCTATATTTTTATTGATAATTTTTTTTAATACAGCCTTTCGATTTTTTAAATATCTTGAATATAATGAAAGTAGCGATAAATCCTATTAATCGAAATTATTAAATTAAATCGAATTAATTAAATATTTCCGACAATGTTTTTGTTCTGTTTAGATTCTGCTGATGAAACTCTGGCTTATTTTGCTGACTTTGCAACATTGAGAAAATATTTAAATTAGGTACAAATATAGCAGGAAATGTTCCAATTGTCCACTTTGAGAGCAAATATTTATGAACGCTTTATCTATTAATAATTTAATCTGTCCATAATACGAAACTCTGCGGGTTTCAAGCTTTTGAATAAATAAAGATTGCATGCTTTGCGAATGTCGGCACTAAATATCCCTTAGGTATTCTAAAACTATAGCACAATAATGACCAGTTTTGGCACGTCTATTTATACAAGACAATCATTGTTAGTTTATAAATACCATTAAGTTAAAATAATTTGTGTTTTTTATGTAAAGCAACAACAACAAGTTAAATATTATTGGAAAGTAACATACATTATACATTGTGGAATTGATATCCAAATATGTCTGTTGATATGCGAGATCATCGTTGATAAGTTGTGCAGCTCAATTTCCATTCTTAACGAGGTCTAGAACGAATGATTCGTTAAAACTGACCCTTTTAAAATCATCCTTGAACTTCCACAAGTCCACGCTATTAATAGTTATCAGTTTGTTGTCCTATTTTTGGATTCAACCTATATAATTTATCAGGGTGAGAACAAAAATACTTTTCGATTTGAATTGGGGGTTCATATATTTTTCATGGCCTGTTCTGTGATATCTGTTTCTGACTGAATTCACGCACATTTTTAATTAAATAACGTAAAAAATTAGTATTTTCTAAATGATCGTTTAGTTAGTTACTGAAACAAAACAGCTTGAACTCAACACTCCCCATAGAAGAAAATGCTTAGTTGAAGGCATAAGATGAGTCAGCGCCCAAACGAAAAACAACTCTTCACTAAAGGTTTTGCGTTTGAAATTTTTACTTACGTGTTTTATTCTATCGCTTTATTTTAAAAAGATGTGCATATTTTCCTTCAGCCAGCGAATTTTTTTCTCTGCTATGTAATATGGAACATTTTTTCTTTCAGTTATATAAAATATATTTATTTAAACTCGAATCAAATAAATACTTATCAACTAACAATGTTTACTAATGGCAGATTTTATTGCTTTTCAGCGATGTCCACTTTTATTTATAATGGGCCATGAACATAAAAGAAAACCTTAAATAAACGGATAATTCTACAAAAGGATGAACCGAGACGATATTCCGACAATATTCAATCCAAGAAGTTCTAGTCGCAATCGCACCCCTAGCGTTTTAGTAACGGAGGAGGGAGTTGCAAATGGTAAGAATGGTAAGAAATTGCAAGTTAATTACTAGTTTCGTTTATATGCGCACTATAACTCATAAGTGAATGATTCAATCTTGGGCAGATTATGATTCATAGAAATAAAGGGGTGTTAATATAATTTGCTCTAAACTAAATAACTTCCTTCTAGCAAAAAATAATAAACTCATGGATAGCACTGCACTGAAAACATAAATATTCTCGACACTTTAAATTAGACAAACAGAAATATAAGTGTATAATAATATGTTGTATCCCTACGTCTGGTACTTAATACCGCTCCTCCTTTTGTGAAAATTAGTTAATATATTTTGCTTTATTCAAATCACGAAACCAAGGTGAACTTCTTGGAAAGTATCTAGGGTAATTTGAAATAGTTTTGGAACAATATTGACCTAAAGGAGGATTGGTTTGCCAGACATTTTGATACTTTTATATTCACTCCTTTGATATACAAATTACTTGACCTGCCGGTTTAACAGATAACCAACATATTTACATACGTTAGGAATATGAAAAGCTCAAGATTTTTAGATACATTTATTACCAATACAAATTATCTATATTTTAGACAGTTACAAATATGAGTTCTTTGGTATCTAAAACATTTCAATCTATCCTGCAATTGATCAGCACTCAAGCACTGTTTGATGTGAGCACAATGGATTTATTGTGAATGTTGCCCCTATAATTTCTTGCCTAAACTATAAATATTATGTGTGTATTTATTAGGTCCTTCATTTACTCACTCAGATTCTGTTGGGAGTCAGCAGGACTCAGTCGAACCTCTTTCGCCTGCAACTCCCCAGCGAACCAGCAATTGTACTGGAAATGCAACAATTCAATCGACTGGTATTGCTGGAAAATTGAAAAGTTGTTCCGCATCAATTTGTTCGAAATCAGCTAGAAAGGTAAATATACTTGAATGTCGATTTATATAAAGTTTTCCACATAACAATTATTTTCTTCATTTAATCCAGAAACCCTTTTTTATTCATTTTATTTTAGGCTTATTTTACTTTAGTTTTTCATGTTCAGTTGAATTGGTCGTAAGCAGGCAACCGTTAGTAGGAAAATCTAAAATTAACTCATTCAAAAATAAATCTGTTTTTCTTATTAATTGTGTATAGCGTGTTCAGGTAGCGTGAATACAATTGCACCGATTTGCGTTTCGATACCGCTAACTCACAAGAAACCCCACTTTTTGTGCGTGATTTAACGTTCCATTTTATTCACATACTTCCAAGGCACGTAAATCTAATTTACGTTGGTTAAATACTAGTGTAAAAAGGACTTTGCTGCCTGCTACTTACTATTTTTATTAGAAATTTATGGATCGAACTTTAAAATTTATGTAGGTATATATGACTAAGTGGCGTATTGACAATTTTTTTCATATTGATAAAGTGAAAAATTGTAAAAACCCATTTTAACTATTGAGTTAAAGAAATACTATAAAATAATACATTTTAATTGAATAAAACTGCAATTAGATTTGAATATAAAAATGAAATTGCCTATTTTTGTACCTCCGACTGAAAACTGAAACATTGTAAATATTTGAACAATTCCATTAAATTTTAGTTTAATTAACAATATTAAAAAAGCAGTTAAAAGTCGCAACAAAAAATTTGACAAAACACTAAAAAATTAACGTTTTGTAATAACAGTTTGTAGTTAATAGTAAATTCTATATTTAAAAGTTTTCGCATAATTAAGAAATATGTCATTTCAATAAAACCTGATTACAAATATTCAATATTAAACACTAAAAATTAGAAAACGACTATTTTATGTTAAAATATTAATGAATCAGCCGAAACATAAAAAGTACACATACATATTCCACATGTATAGGCTTAACCTAAAATGATCATTTACAAAGTGTTGCCGTTTAGAAATTTTTAACGATAGTTTTTCAAATTATTTTGCAAGGCTCTGAACGAGGTAAAGGTAAAGTACTAGGTAAAGGCAAGTTTTAGGCGGGGGAAAAATTATTTGAGTAGTATTGTTTTTTCCATGCATTTTTTTATATAACTTTTTCCCGCACGAAATGCGAATTTCATGAATTTCATTTGACTTGCTTCAAGCAAAATAGTTCAAAATCCTATAGTTTACAACAGTTGAAAAAAAGTATAAATATACATATTCTAGGGAACGAAAGCACTGTATTTTATTATATTTAGTTAAATTCATTCATGTATATAATTCCAGATTTATATTTTTCTCCTCCTATTGCTTCAGATATACTTTGGAATATGGGTAACGGTTTGCGTGACAGCGTCTTGGGTTGGTGCAACACACAGTATAAAGTACTTGTATTTGCGAAGATCCAAAGACGAAGACTATGATGACCCAATTTTAGTACCTCATGATACTACCGATTTAAATATGACTGTGCTTCAAACGAAATACGTTAGTATTTCTACATTGCTCTCAACATTTAAGTAATATTTAGCTCTTAATTCTTAAAATAATTTTCAGGCGGTCTCATTTGAAGCCCCATTTTTCACCACTTGGTTTGTGACGAATTGGACAATGCTGTTCTTTCCTTTATATTTTGTGAGTAGGTTAAGCACCAAACGATGTGAATCAATGTCCGATATTCTCACGGAAAGCATACGAGACTTCCGAGATAAAGGGTTTACTGCAGGTAATACACGCATACAACTTTGCCTTTGAACTGCTAATGTTTAATATATGTATATTTGAAATTTTAGTCAGGTTTATGACCAGATGCAGCTTATTCTGTCTACTCTGGGTGGGCACAAATTACATGTATATTTTATCTTTAAACATCCTTCTGGCCACTGATGTGATGGCTCTTTTTGCTACTAACGTATCGATTGTCTACCTGCTAAGCTGGGTGATTTTACACGAACAATTTGTCGGCATACGTGTAAGTATCTATCGATAAAATCCAATCATTAGCTAATATGTTGTCGACTAGCCCTAGTTAACTCCGTTAAAGAAATAGCGACAAGAATATCTCAAAAACCGGGCAAAAACATTCATGTTAAAACCTACTCAGATTAGTGATTAACAAAGTTTAGCCATTATGAAGCAACACTTTCGGATGTTTTGCAAACATTTTGCAATGGCGGTTTGAGCAACTTTGCACAAAGACTCAAAGAAGAGATCTATTTGTTAGTCAGATTTCGATTTTCGGTGTGAGAAATGTTTAGATGTACACTTGAAACGCGATATAAACAATTTTTTTTATGTAATAATTTTTTTATTTTCTATATTAATTATAATGTTTGTGCATATGGGACTTGACCCTATAATTTTCTTCAACCAGTTAGAGAGCTAATGGAAAAGGGAAAATTGATCGTAAATTTACAAAGTTGAACCAAAAATGCAAAATAAAATCATACATTTTTAGTCACAACAGTCAGTCACAATTAGTTGTTCTATATTCACCATCACATTAACAATTTATATCAATTATTTAAATGAAGGTAACTGAAATATCTGAAACTAAGTTGCAGATACAACTAATGTTCTTGTACCGAATATTCTGTTTCAAAATATCAGATTTCGTCATTTCCAGGAAATTCAGCAAAATGTCAAAAGTAAAACTAATTCACTTATAAGAACAGTTTATAAAATATCAAGTAAGTGTATTGTGAAAAGACAAGAAAACAACGAAAAGGCTGACCACAACAGTTTCAGTTAAACTCAAAATGTTAGATCTAAAGTGAATATCATAGTCTAATCAGAAATAGCGTTTCGATTCAAATATCAGTAAAAAACACACACAACATTCATAATAAGATCAATAACAAAGCACAAATGGATTGTAATGACACTAATTTCATTCGCGTGTTTGTTTTATAAACATTTGTTTGATTTGATTTACTTTAAAATGATTTGAGCATTGAAATTATCAGCAAAAAGGCTACGGGTTTTAGTTTTGCAACGGGTGGTCGGTTAGGGAAAATAATAAATAACATTTTCAGTTTTCCAGTTTTATGCGCTGGAATTGGAATTAATGAGTAATCACTCTAAAGTTTAATAGGAAAATTTAAACATTTCAACCACGCACCACTTAATTTTGCTTCATATTTTATTTACACTTTATAGATAGTGTAAATCTCAACGTTTACTAACCTCTGGCAACCCCAGGATCAGTTTTTGGGTTTCTTTTCACTATCTTACACGATTTCTGATTCGGTAATTAATTGCCAACTAAATTCACGTCTTTTTTACATTTTATGTTCAATTTTATATTATGTAGTAGATAGCAACTACTTATTAAAAAAGATCTTCTACCTATAAGTATTGATAAAAAGTAATAATTTGCAACGTTTATTATTAGCCGATAGAGAATTGAACCGTGCTGAATATCCAACTTGTCCTTTGTCCGTCACAGGAGATCTAAAAAATAATAAAGTTGATAGTTTACTGTTCAACTTTCTTGTACTAAGTCAGTGGCCGAGAGATTTCTATTCTAAACACTTCTTTCAAGGCTTTTTTAAATCGCTTTATTACTTTCTGTAAAAAATTACATAAATGTAAATATCTTTTTCGAATTTGGACCTAAATGTTACAAACTTTTTCAGTGAGTAATTTAAATATTTTATAATTCGTTACGAAATTTCAGTAGCTACATTTCTAATAATTTCTTCAGGATAATAGACGCTGAATAGTAATCTAGTAAAGAGCTTTAGACGTTTTTTTATCGCTTCTTTTTTCAACAAAATTCAAAACATGTACCCATATTAGCTGTAAAACTGTAACAATCTGTAAAAGAAATGCACCACAATAAATCTTTATTTACTGGACCTTTTGGTATAGTATTATTCTTTTCTGTTTTGGAAACTACATTCTTTTTTAGACGTAGCACTTTTAGAACAAGATCATTTAACTACTTTTAGTAAACTTAATCCATTTTAATTTAATTCCGAATATATAAACAAAAGTGTATCATACTTTCTGAAATTATGCTAAACATTTATTCATTGGAATAAAAATATTATTCGTTGATGAAACCGAATCAGTTCATTAGTTTCGTACCTCTAGTAAATCTAATAAATTTTAATTTAATTCCGAATATATAAACAAAAGTATATCATACCTTCTTAAATTATGCTAAAATTATTTATTGGAATAAAAATATTCTTCTTTGATGAAACCGAATCAGTTTATTAGTTTCGTAAATGCAATGCAATGTAATCTAATTAAATAAATTCACTAGTAAATTTTAATATAATTCTGAGTAAATAAACAACAGCATATCATACCTTCGTAAATTATGTTAGATTTTATTTCTTTGTAAAAAAATATTCGTCGTTTATACAAGATACTAATATTTGAATTTGATGCATTTTATAAAAAGGATGATATTGTACCAAATAACCAAATTCGTTATTAAAAAAGGTATAATGATCGACCAACGCTTTGTTTACTGTGGGAAGCTAACATTTGGCATTAATTTACTGTAGATCGGAATCGCTTTTTATAGAATTATTTGAGCATTTGTTTATGAGAATTTATTTTACAGACTTTGCCATTGAATGCACATGTAAATGTTGTTATTAGATGAAACCCGTTTGAAAACATTGAACACTTAATATTGCCATTCCGACAAATTTAAGTGTACTTTAACAATTTTGTATTTTGTAAGCTGATTTTTCGAAATATTAAGTGAGTGATTATTTGTGCACTATCACCTAGTTGGCGTTAGTAACAATTATTATTTGTATTTGCGCTTTATGTTTTAAAATAACTTGGTTTAATAAAAGGCATTTTTAACTAATGCCAATTACTAATTTTTTCGGATAAATGATGTTTAATGTATAATAAAATAAAGATAATTGTTTTCCTGACAAAAACATTCGAAGTTTTAGGACGAATAATGCAAATCCCACAAGATCAAGCTTAAAAGAAAATGTTTTGAATTTTTTTCCCTTGGCTCAGCTCCAACTCATCCTTAAAATCTTAGCGATGATTGAAATAGTTTTATATTGTTTTTTAACAGATAATGGCTGTGATAATATGCGATACTGGTGTCGCTTTACTAGCTTATATGGATGGAATTACAGGAAGTCCAACATTAGCTGGTGTAGTTTTAGCTACCTCAGCTGCAGCTGGTTCAGCTGTCTATAAAGTACTTTTTAAAAAGGTAAATACAACTAGTTTTAGTTGGGACTACTATTATGATAAATCTATTTTCTTTCTGCTCTTAGAGTGAGTTCATAAATGTTCTCTGTCCATTTTCTTATTTATTTTATCAACCCCTATTTCTATTCTTTTAGGTTTGGTTTTGTGTTAACACTTTTCATTCATAAGATCGAGAATTCCTTATGTTATTCTTTCTTGCTTTATATTTTTTTATAGGTTTTTGCATGTTTCATTCATAACATCCATTATTTCCTGTGTTATTCTTTCTTGCTTTCTGTTAGCTTAAAGCATCCTTCATTAATTAGATTTATAATTTTCGACGTTTCATCGACGATGTTTAAAAATGTTAAAGTTAAACTTGATTTCGTTTTTGGAGGTGATTGGAGATGCAACTTACGGTCAAGTTGCTCTTTTCTTCTCCTTAATTGGAATGCTCAATGCGGCTCTTTTATGGCCGGTCAGTTTGGGTCTATTTTTGACTGGACTGGAAACTCTCCATTGGGATAGACTTCCATGGCCGGCGCTGCTAAGTGCAAGCTGCCTATCTCTAGGTGAGAGTTCATCATTCATTATTTATTATTTTTACAGTAAATATCTATATTTTACATTAAAGAATGATTAAAGTTGGAAAATATGACTATATATTATACATTACAGAAAACTGACAAAAGCAATCGCTATTTTTATTTTTTTACATTATATTGGACAAGTTTTTTCATAAATGTTGTGTTTTCAGTTGCCAATTTATTAGGGAACTTCAGTGTTGCCCTAACTTATGACCTTTTTATAACATTGGGACTCATCACTGCTGTGCCCGTTTCTGCGGGTGAGGAAATATGAAATGTAGAATTGCGTTTTTTTTATAAATTAACTGCATTTTCAGCACTGGATGTTGTCTTATACGGAGCTCAATTCGAAGGGATGAAATTGGCAGGGATGATTTTAATAGCAGTGGGTTTTTTCCTGGTAATGTTTCCCGATAACTGGCCGGATTACATTACTCGACTACTCAGGTAGGATTCCACAAAAATGCATTTTTCTTGTAAATAGTATGAAGATTCGATCAAAGTTCATGAAGCACTAAACTCAATAAAGTTCACATTCGTATTTGAAATTTACATCAGTAAGTTCATTTAATCCATTGATATTACTTAGTTAACATTCAATCTTTTACAAGAAAATACATTTACTTTTCACATATTGAATGGGCTTTTAAATTCCATAGTTTTCGCGTGCATTTGAATTCTATAGAAGTCGTGATTCTAAAACTGTTGCGCAATAGGTTTTTTGTTACCAAAAGATACAATATAAACATGTATCTTTGCAGAATTTCAACTCGTATCTTCAACGGAAAGGTCAGTTTTGTAAGCCAGAATTTATCTATTTTTTTTACGTAAAATTCGCCTAATGATTATTCACAACTTCTGCTTCTTACAGCGACTGAAACGTTGAGCGCTTACTATGAGTCACAATTAGCTTCATGATGCACAATATCCATCAACTGCACTGCACAAATTAATATGCTTGCTTAATATCTTTTTTCAAACAGCTCTTATTTAATTCTATTGGCTATGAATAGAGCACTTTTAATAACACTTTGAAGCGTCTAAATGAAAAATTGATTTGCGAGAACTTTAACATGCGAGGATCGACTTTTTGAATAAGATATGTTTTTTTTCGCACAAAAAACGTTAAATCTTTCAACATAATCTGTTTTTAGCTCGATATACTTAGACTTTGGACGTCTTTCCAATTTTTTTTATTCCGTTCAATTAATATTATATATTTTCTCGATTTCCTCAAAATAGGTGTTTGTTTCAATTATGACCTCTTCATTGGACCCAATTTTTTTTACGCCCAGCCATTTCTTCAGGATTGCAAACAGGAAATAGTCGCAAGGGGCTAAATCTGGAGAATATGCTGCTAAAAAACAGAACTTTTTTCGCGAAATACGGCCTTTTTAACTTCAAGTCAACATCGAATCTGTTCAAAAGCTCTGAATAGTATGCGCCGTTTTACTCTTTTCAAAGTAATCGATGTGAATAACGCCGATCCCAAAAACCGTGACCATCAGCTTGTTGAATGAATGATGAATTTAAAGTTACTGAACAGGAAATTTAAAAAGTCACTGACTTATCAAACGACCCTCGTAGTAAATGCTAGTTTGTAATTTTGGTAGTAAATTTGGGTAAGCTGTAAGCTATACAACTATCTTGTTTCAGAAATATCATCATGTTAACGCACAGTGCGAGGTAAGTACCAAATAATATCTTTCGGCATGCAACATTATTGTGTGTGTTGTTATCTATTTTAAATCTCATTTAGTTTGTGTCATTATAGATTTTATTCACACCCATTAGAATCTTCACACACACTCCACACACTGTTCCACAATATATGTCAACTCATTCATCCACATATCATGTGAGTTATTTTCATTTTATTTCGTTTTCTTAAATCTGTTAACTTTTGAATAGGAATTGGCGCAAGAGATGTATTTGGTAGCTTAAAGACTCATGAATCTAATCTGAATCGTTATCAGAATCATGCGACTGTTTTTTTCTGCGAGAGTTCCTTTCGAATTTAGTTAAATATTTCAAAAAACTATTCTCTATAAAAAAAAAACATATAAATTGTTAAATAATCGATGGTCCTGTGATGCTTCGCACACAATGCAAGTGATCTAGTTTGATGATGTATCGTTTACCTTTATTAATATTACCTTATTTATTAGAAGTCGCATAATGTCGCTGTTATTTCATCTGAAAAGAGTGTCTCCAAAAATCTCATTTTCCAAATTTGCGGGTTTCAAATCGCATTACTTCCCGGAATATTCTAATAGACGCTGACCGTGAGGCACGCTGTATATACTAACAATTTTAAGCCGCAATAAAAAACAGCCAGTATACTTCTACACAATTTTTAACACACGCACATATTGAAACTAGGTTCATGTAGATTCTTAGCTAGACTGACATCTTTATTAGCTAGTCGGAGTTATATGCTAAAGTACTCTTTTTCGATTTTTAGTATGCCCGCTCCAAACAGGGGCAAAAAAAGTGATCTTATGTATGTATGTGTAGTTGGCTGTGTCGTTCTGCTGATGTTGTACAAAATAAGATAGAAACGTTTGTAGTTAGACTGTTTTTGATTAATGTTTGTATACTTACTTACATTTGTTAATGTTAGAAGCATTGAATGACTCAAATCAGTTTGAGATCATTTATTTTTGTCTGTTAATATTAGTTAAGCCATTTGTATTCATTTTTAATACCAATTACAAAAAATTAAGTTAAAGAAAATATTGAAAAAAGCAGTATTTCAAAAACGGTTTGTGTCATTCACATATAGCAAAATTTTAATCCCGTGATTTTAAAACTGACCTAAAATACAATTTTGCACGAACGGCTTCCCGACAATAATTTTACTAACACTTTATTTTGTATTTGTCTACTTTTTATTGTTAAATTGATGACGTCCAAATAAAATTCAGTTTGTTTTAACTGTTTTGTTTTACTTTTCACCTTTTTTTCACCACCATTTATTGTAAAAGTGTGAGGAATAATCACACAATTTATCCTCAATGATTCGATTTAAACAAAAGTTAATAGATTTTTTGTTTCGGTTTTGAAGACTCAGATAATATACAGGGATGTTCAAGTATTGGGTTTTTAAATATAAATTCTGTGCTATTATTAGAGGTTAAAATGAACAATATATCTGCATATAGATGCATTATAAGTATACATAAGTTAACAAATGTTAACGTCTGATGATATTTTTCACTCATCCATTTATATTTCTTGTATTTCCATTTTAACATAAGTGAAAATATTTAAAGTCTAAACGGGTTTATCTTTTTCGATTTTTGAGAAATCGGATGTTCTAACATTTTATAAAGATGTGAACATTTTTTGTTATTCTATGAAACTTTGTATGCGTTTAATCTAAATTTCATATTGTTTTTGATATGCTTTCCGAATACTTGAAAGAACAACTTAAATACTTTTGAAAGTAAGATTGATTCCAGCGATATAAATTTGAATATTTGGAAAAGCTTCAAGTTTAGTCTTTGCGTCAGAATTTTTTCGTTAATAAATTATTTGATTTTGTTGCCAAAAAAGTTACCGTAATTTTGAGCGAGATTCAGTAGGCTTTACATCAATTACATTGGGATTTTTCGCACTAATACCCCTCATTATACGCAATTTTAGAACAATACACATCAAATTAATTTGAACACCATTTTACGCAAATAAATTTCCTGATGACTTACATTTATATATAAGTTTTGCATGAGTTTTTCATTTATGTTCGTTGTTTTTAAAATTTGTAAAATCTATGCTGCAAAACACTGAATAAAGTCTTATAATTTTAAAGTGAAAACATGCACTACATAATACGTGAAACAGAACTAAATAAATTTAGTTTCACTTTTATCAGACTCATTTAGTCATTGAGTCTAATTATTTAATTATACTGTTCATGCGAAATAGCTTATTTTTTTTTCAATTGTTGTTTACGCTTTTTACTTTTATTTAAAAAGGTACTTAATAATTCACTTTCTGTGCCAATTGAAAATAGTTGAAAACTGCAGCTTATTTCACTATGTTTGCTTTGTTGTGTACTTATATTTTATTGCTTCACTCAATTTAAGCTTTAATAATTCGAGCTGCATTTTTAAATTAATGTACGGTTCTTAATTTTCAATTCAATTACTGCCAAAATGTGATTTTTTGTTAATTAAATTTTTTAAAAAGCCATGAGGAGGAAAATATTTTCAAGTTCAATAAACAGCAATGGTTGCACATAAAGAATAACTCTAAAAATAGGATGTTTTTACACTTACTTTAAAAAAGCTGATGCCAGATCATCAAAGTACTTTTATAGGTACCGAACTTTACTTGAATCGTCCAAGTGGTAAATTACAGCCACATAAGTGGAGAAAAAAAGCAGAAAAACTGAACAACAAATTTTTGAAGATTCGTTAATCTATAGTAAATAACTCTCTAAATTACAAATGTAAATTTCAAATTTCATTTGAATCCATATAATACAAAAATAAAACAGCAGTTGAAACAATAAGTAATAAACCATGAATCACAGATCCACAAGAGCAACTTTCACGGAACATTCAACTCACCACAAATTAAAAACATGTTTTACCAGTATATTTTACCCAGATTTGTATTAAGGCAAACAAAACATGTGTGAAATGAGATTATACCAACAAAACCGATTTACACCGTACGACTCTATTCCATAGGAAAATTAACATCTTAAACAGAAAGATTAAAGCTATGAGAAACTTTGTGAAATTCACGGTAGGAAGACTTTTTGTATAACAAAAAAATATTTTTACTGCTGCTACAAAAAAAGGCTTTGCACATGTAGATACCATAGCGCACACTTTCCTATACGGCTCAAGCAACTGGCTTAATCACGCATCATCCACACTGAGCCAACACGCAACACTTTTTAGAATCAGACAATCCATAACCATCTGATCATTCTCATTGTCCTTCTTTTCGATCATGCACCAATCACCTTCTAACATTTATTCTGTCTCTGTCCCTTCTTTATCTCTTGTGACTGTGGCTCTATGCGTGTTATTCTGTCACTCGCCGAAGACCATCTTTCTCCAAGCGAGCGGCTCTACCAGCCACCAACTTGCCGACTGAAGAGAGACCAGGTGGAGTCGCAAAGTCTGTCATTCTCAGGCACTAGTGTACACTTTATCTGTGAGTGTTTATGTTGTTTGATTAGATCGCTTTCTCTGTTGTTAAGTCCTTAGTTGTCGTTCGCACTAATGTGAAGGTACGCAAAATTAACTGCTATTAATAAGGTAAATAATCATTTCTTCCGCACGAAGAAACTTTATTAAAATTACAACAGAAGAAACTTATTTAAAGCAGATACAATTTCGTTTGTATGTAGGTAGAAGTGTTTCCCGTTTTTACTTGCGAAACGTTGTTTGCACAGTGGATTCTTCATAGCACATAGCATGGAACAGTAAATGCATGCCATAAAAAATATTTTTTAATTAAGAATGTGCACTTTTTGATGGTGAAAGGTCTAGAATAATTAGAACGAAAATAATGGCTTTTTACTAGTTAGGCTGTTGAACTTTCAAAATTGTTTAAAGCGTTTAAAGGCCATGCAAATCTCATTTGTTCCAAAGCCTCACGCATTTACTTCAAGAATAAATTTTAAAAAATCGGCAGCCTGACAAACTTTATCTAGTTTTTATCCTTCTCGTAAGTATTAATATTGAACAAAAAATCTGAAAAATTCAGACCACATTTTCAAAATGCTTTTACTAATTCACTTAAATACACATTTTCTTTGAATTTTTTTAGATGGAGTAGACGCAATCGTCATGGTAGCCAAGGTATGCAACGCCGGGATATTATAGACTATAGAACTGGATACATCAGATCCCATCTTCGATCTCCTTCTGGACGGGTCAGATGATCCAGTTTTAATAGCCTACTATTTAGTAAAGAGAAGAAAAATTCATTCACATGTCCAGAAATGCTGGGACGATCCAGCTTGCCGGAGAATCTTTTAGATTGCCATATCGGATACGTGTAGCGAGATCCATAGGAAATAATAGTTGTTAACTGATGTTAAATTTGTAGATACTATCTGTTATTAGAGTTTAAATGCACTTGTAATATACATTATATTTGTACCAACTTTCTGTGATTTACTAAAAAATGTTAGTATTTATGCACGATTTTTAATAAATATCATACATTAAAAATCAAACCTAGAGAGTCGAAAACTGTTCAACGAAATCACCGTTACGCAGCCAAATTTTCCCTAACTTTGGAGCTGGATAAATTTTATTGGTTTTCGTTTGAAGCGTTATTGTTGTTTTTTGTTAGTCAATGTATTGACAAAAATTAAGCATAGCAGGCAAACTTTGTACAGCGTGGCAAATACAAAATGCAAATTTCGGAAAGTTAGACACAAAAAGTTTTTAGCATCTTAACAACAAAAGTTTAAAGAAAAGCCAAATAGCCCGAAACTGTTTTTAACTAAGTCCATAACTTTTATTTACGATCTCATTTTCACGATCTTGAGCTCATGTTCAAGCTAAAACTTGCATGGGTTGCATTAAAAATGATCTAAATCAGAATTACAAACTGAAGAAAAATCACATGTTTAATGAGATTTTGAAAAATGAATCCATTAATGATGATAGTGATTTTTCTCGCTTTTAGGCGGCAGTTAAAATTTAGTTCTCCTCTTCAAAGCTGACACTGGACTTAAGCTTTCAAGTGAATCACTTCTGAGAATGCAAGTTACTCATCGTGCTGGCAAAATGTAAAAAAAAGTCTACAAAAGGGCTTAAAAGCAATAGCCACAAAAGCTTAACTCTTCAATACATTAAATTAAATTAAATTAAATTTTTTCTGTCATAAAAGTACATTACCATGTTAACTTGAAAAATTGAAGATTCGAAACCAAATAATCGAAATAATTAAAAACAATATCAAAATAAGGGAGAAGCGTAAACACATCTAAAAATGAAAAAAATATTTCAATTGAATTTTTATTAACACGCTCAAATACGATATTGTACATCAACATAAGTTGAATAAACAAATTACATACAACATAAAAAACAGTTAAATTATAAACCCTTGACTATTATTTAAAATTTGCCGCCCAAACTCTCGAAGATAATTGGTGCAAATCGGAAACAATTGATGCCATCCTCCTAACCTAAGAAAATACCGACTTGTCATTTGGATTGTTTTCAAACTGAGTTTCTTACTGAAAATCCAAATACTTTATTAGAATCTTTCTCGTTAAAAGGAAACCATTTTGTGAAATGTCGAGATTTCTTGTTAATTTACTTATTTATTCTTCGGTGGTTTTACAAGTTTTCTGCCATGAAGAGGGAATTTATACTCGCCAATACGACGAAAACAATTTCGTGGACGAGATAGCAAAAAAACATCATTTTGTGATGTTCTACGCCCCCTGGTAAGTTTCGCCATACAGCCAGTGTTGAAAATTAAAGTTTTGCTTTGTTTCTATGTCAAGGTGCGGTCATTGTCTGAGATTGGCCCCAATATGGGAACAACTGGCCGAAATGTTGAATGAGGATAGCAGCAATATAACAATTGCCAAAGTCGATTGCACAACTGATGCCCAAGTTTGTTCCGACCAAGATATTACTGGGTACCCCACTTTAAAGTTCTTCAAAGTAGGGACAAGTGACAGTGTCAGGTTTAGGGGTACCAGAGATTTGCCCACCCTAACTGACTTTATTAATGAACAGCTCAGACAGGTAGTACAAAAAATTAATACATTGTTTTACCAATAAGGACTTTTTGCACTTAAAAAAGTACATAGTGAGAGAGATACTTATCTTTAAAAGTGTGTTGACTGATAACTACGTGACATCTTTACATCTTTTGTTACATAGATATATTCATAATTGGTCAGAAACGGGCTGATAACATTGTTGTGCTAATATTACTTAAAAATTAAGTAGCAAAGCATGATTAGCGTTTGAAAATTATGTTGCAATAGAATTTTAAAGCTTATAGGGCATAAGTACATCAATGTAGTCGAAGACGAATAAGTCTTTAAAAATCGTTAGTTGAAATTACAATTACCGAAATTTGGACCAAGCTCGTAGACGAAGTACCTATGGACGAATTCTCATAAACATAAATTAATGGTCAAATATAAGTAGAAGTTTAATTATTACGAATGCTTAGTACGCGAAGTATATTTATCTAAGATATTAAAATTTAAAAAATAGTGACTATAATTTAAAAAATAGTTGAATGATTTTTAGAGTCCACATTAAGTAGGTTTGTATGTGAGTGAAGTAAACTAATATATTCCTTCTTTTCGTAAGTCAGCCAGAACTCTATCCGCGATAGCAAATTTCAGCAGGAATACGGCCCCAATTTGTTTAACTGTTTTTTACTTTGCAATTTTCTCGTTTAATTTCTGCCTTGCCGATTGTATGTTACTTATAAAAATATGCGGATATAATTTGTGATCTTGTAAATATTGTAAAATGTTAACCCTTTATGAACGCGAATTAGGTATTTTTACAAATGTTGTATGGTTTTCATAAAAAATGTCAACGCGTCTTCAGCCCTTAAAATATGTGCCTATTATTAGGAATGACGCCAATTTTGAATATCCATATATAGTAGAAAAGTTGTTACGTCTTTGTCCCCATTGTTTTAAAAATTCTAATATGTATACATAAACAATCAAAATATTTTTTTGTAATTTATTATCACTAAAATTTATTCTTTGCGTGCTCCACGCGCTCTCGCAATGAGACGAAAACCAGATTGGGTTCAGAATGATTTGGGAAAAACAGTAAGCGAATCATTTAACAAATTCGCTTTCTGACACTCGTAAAAGCCCAGAACGCGTTTCGGTCTATATAGCGGTCTGAAAGAGATATTTCGGACATTGGCAGTTTATCTCTGGACAGAACGTTATTTGGACGATTTTGCCGATAATAACTAAAGAGGAACATTTTAATATTCAATATTTTAGGAAGATGAACTATCCGCTGGGGTTGTTTCCAGTCAAGAATCTCCGCTCATCGAGTTGAATAAGGACAATTTTGACGCCGTTATTGAGGATGGAAACACATTTATTAAGTTTTATGCTCCGTGGTGCGGACATTGTCAAGTAAGTCAATAAGCATTGTGGTAAGCAAGTAACCGGTAAATGTTAAATTTTATGTGATTTAACGAAATTACTCACACGAATTTATTCAATCGACAATTTCTCGTTAAACAATTACTACTGCACACAGCAATGTTTTCGCATTTATCTGAAGCCTTCTTCATTTTTTTATATATATTTTTTTATTAAATTTTATTGATCTGAGATCTGGATTTGATAGCAACATGTACTTGTAGAAATTGGCTCCTACCTGGTTAGAATTGGCAAAAGCAATGGAACTTAATGAAAAAATTACTATTGCCAAGGTTGACTGTACAGAATTCAGAGACATTTGTTCTACACACGATGTAAAAGGTTATCCGACGCTGTTGTGGTTCGAGGATGGACAAAAGGTAACACCAATGTTTTTATATAAAAGATAAGATATTAAGATAGTCGTGATTCAAATGACATAAGATACGTATTCAATGGAAAATCGCGAAAAAACAAGTTGTTCTTAGAGAAGTTTGCAATTATTTTATACCATTTTTCTGTTGATGCATTTTTCGTCTTAACAACTGTACATTTGATGTTAAACGCGGAAAAAGATTGGCAGCAGAATTCGGGACGAAAACTTTATTTACAGTTCTGTTATGATTTTCAAGATTCTATTCTCTTAAAATAGGCGACAAAGTATAATTGTGAAGATTATAAATCCATGTAAAAATATTGTGGGTTTTTAGAATGGAAAATATACTGGAGACAGATCACTGGTAGATCTTAAAAACTATGTAAATCGAATGATCGGTGGTCAAGTTCCTGAGAAATCCGAACCGGAGCCAACAAAAGTCACCGAAGACAAATTTGTAACAGAGTTAACAGCGAAAAATTTCAGCGATGGTGAATAATTTGGCGTTTTTTTAACTTTTACAGTGTAACTGATAAAATGTAATTTGTTCCAGAAATCGGCATTGGATTAACGTTTGTGGAGTTTTATTCTCCTTCTTGTGGTCATTGTAAGAGATTGGCGCCGACTTGGGAACAGTTGGGGAAGAAGTTCCAAAGTGAAAAAGCAGTCAAAATTGGTAAAATCGATTGTACTACCTCAGTCAATAGGCAATTTTGCAACGAGCAAAAGGTAAGTGTGTGGGCTAAGGAACAAAATCTGGCTGATTCAACTCTTAAATTGCTTTTCGATGGTTGGTTTTAAAGTCGGTTGAAAATAATATGATTATCTTGCACTAACGTTGGTCAGTTATGGCAATATTAGGTATGTTTTTGGTTTCAGATCGAAGGATTTCCAACTCTGTTCCTGTATAAGGACGGACAACAAATAGGAGAGTATAACGGAAATCGTGATATAGAGGATTTGTCCGGTTTTGTCACACGGCATTTATGGCATGAGGAATTGTAGAAATTCATACAAATACTAGTCATTTCATGTTTCTGGATGAAACATAGGTTTTCCCAAGTGAATTAAAAGACGTATCTGTTGAGTGTTTAGAACCTAAAAATAATTTCCCTACTGTTTGGTTGTTTGTCATTGTGGCACTATTTCTAAATACATTTTTATATGCAGAAATACATTTTTATTTTACCGTCTTTAAAGTTACCTATTCATTCCTCCTGAAGCAGATATTTTAAAATCTAAACGTGAAATATACTATCACTATCGTTAGTATCATTTTATGTGAATTGGCCACATATACATTGTTCTGCTAATTTAAATGATCGGTCATATCTAAACGCATTCATAATCCGTGTAAGTTAAAGAGATAGATTGCGAACCTTAAATGATAATTAAAAAGGAAAAGAAATGTTGGATGATGTAATTAATCTTAGTTACTCTAATGGTGTCAAGCCTTTGCTAATATATTAAATTTAATCCTTCCGCAATATTAATCGGTACGCATTGTCAAGCTGATTACTTGAATTACGTTCTTTTTCGTTTTTAACTTGGACTTGGCGTCGAGAAAAAAGTTATTTCAATATTTTTTTCTCTACACAAGTATGAAGTGATTAAAATGTTTTATGCGCTTTTCAAATATAATTCAAAGAAGTGCAGCTACCATTGAAAGACGAAGTGAATTGAAATTCACGCGACAGCTACTACCCGAACTTAATATTACTACTGCTAATCCCGATTCAAAATGTTAATAAAAAGAAGGTCCATTTCGTCACGTATCAGTTTGGCAATCTCCAATTCTATCTTATGTGGTTGATTGATTAAAACGTACAGCATTCTCCGCATCGGTCAAAATAAAAAGCCCACCATAGTCTGACAAAATGCGAAAATAATCCTGTTTCGGACGCATACGACATTTATTTGGAGCACGTGCCACCTCAAGTTCTTGCTGAATGCTGATTAGTTCGATCGCGGATAGGAAATGCCAACGTAAAACAAAACGGTTTTATCGTTACATAATACATTACATGTGGGGTCTTGGATGAACATGAAATGGGCCTTTTATGACATAAAAAAGATCCGATGAACATGAAAGAGTTCCAAAACGGCTGCCTAAATTGAAATCCAATCAATAGAAGGATGTAGTCTATAAGAAAATTGCTGGCGTTTATTTCTCATTTATCGGAAAAATGTAGGTATGTCTGCTTTTTATGATGTAACTTGGGCTTTAATAGACAATTTTTTATTTTGAAAACTAAACCCAAAGGTAATCAATGATAATTTGGAAAATATGTATTTTTGGAAAAGTGATGTTATAAAGCTTTTGAATATTGGTTTCAATTTAATATTTGGATAATATTAATAGTCTTTTAATTTGTACACCAAAATTGATAGCGAAAAGCTATAAATAAATTCGCAAACTTTATTTCGCATACATTCTGGACGTACTGTTGCATGTATACATAAAGTTTATCAGTAATTAAAAATATAATTTAAGTTATTTCTGAAACTGGGGAGCGAGAATAAACAATTATGTTTACAAAGTTCCAATCGTCTTAGTCATATTTCCTTGCCTATAATTCGATTAAATTGCTTTCTTCAATTAAATGGATGCAAGCGTTTATAATTAATTGTCTTCGAATGTTTGAAATTAATTATAAAGCCACTTATTGATTTTTGAAAACCCATTTTGCTTTACCAGGCT